GTTCTTTTTGCTAGTTTAATTCATTTAATTAATTAAAACGAACAAAATTTTAGTTAATAATATTTTAGTTAATATTATATCGAAAGTAATAATATTTAGTAAGGCTGCATCCATCATGCATCCTCTTTTTTTTGCAAAAAGGGCAATTTTGCATTTCATACAATTTACATGAGACTTTTTTGCAAAACTGGACGTTCTCCTTCTCAGTAAGAGAACTTGAGATTTTGTGTATTCATTGAAAAAAATTGACCTTTTGGAGAGAAATTAAGACTTTGAGAAATTGAAACGCATGAGACTTATAAAAGTGAGACCTCTTCTTTTTTTTTACATCCATTATAATTTGCGATTCATCATGATTGATCCATTAGAACCTTTACGAATAAGTAAACCAAAGACTTGGCTCACTAATTTTAGCCCAGTCATATTTGTAGCACATCAATACAAACTCTTCAAACACATCCAATTTTTTTAATCCAGACCCTTCTTTAGAATTTCTTGCAGTAAGAATAATTTTTTGCTTTATCACAGTTGCTCTTACCAACTTCAAAATACATGACCCTCATGAAATAACAAATTTTTACCAAATTCTCGGATCCTTACATAAATGCCTTACGGATTACTATATTGATAAATTTCTTCCAAAAAATTATCCTACCCAATTTTCATGCCCAATTCGAATATATCCTCTTTCTGCGTACCCTTATGATTACTACACAAATCTTCCTACTGTTTATCCATTTTTACCCATTACTCATTTTCTTCCTTATGATGTTAACTTTTAATTAACTCAACTCATTAACTTCAACTACGACATAATGTATTACTTAGTGAAAATTAATGCAAATATTTTTTCCGCTCCAAAATCAGCCGGATACACTCTGCTGATTATTGACCCACAAAATAAATTTTTGTAAGCTAAATATAAATACTATTGAAAATAAGAAGAAAATTTGAGAAAATATTGTGGAAATATGTACTTATACAACGAGTACTTTTTTGGTGGTGCACACTCTGGGAAAAATTTTCAAAAGATATTGCCCAGTCTGAACTACTTCCACCAGTTGTGCAAAATAATATTCCACTTGTGACGAGTATGTGTCATTCGTCGAAATTAGCGAATTTCAGAACACCGTAATGGAGATTATACTTGCATAATTATATACATTCTGTGCGCCATATGTGACGGCCGAGGCTCACTCGTGTGAGACATTACCGTACAATAAATTCATTGTCAAAGCTTCAGGAGAAAGTGATACCAAACCCTAATAGGTACTTTGGCATTAGAATTGGCAAAGTATTATAATTATGAATACTAAAATAATAAAGACGTGCATAATTACAACAATGCAGTCAAATATACGTGGTAGCATTAACCTGTCAAACATAAAAATTGCTAAAGCTTGTAGCAACCTGTTAGGGAATTTCACAGGTGACGATACAGATCGAGTCAAAAAGTTTTTAGAAGATTTGCCAAATCTTCTAAAAATAGAATGCAAATACGTATCGATAGAGCAGCAACAGAGATTTGTGGGTCGTCTCGGAGAGCAGTGAGTGGTTAGGAGTAGGATAAGTAAGTAGTTCCCCTCCTTTAAGAATACATAGCAATAAACGCTTTGCAAAATCGAGTTGACTTGATAGAGAACTTTATTTAGCCCCCTCCAACATGGAGGTTCTACCGAAACACCATACCTTTATGATTACAGCCTACGTTCTCCGTCCGATATCGGGCCATTACGAATGGAAGGGCGCATTCACCCCTACGAACCACGAAATGGATACCAAAAACTCTCCCAAACTATGGATGCGGAAACTTGTGACAAGGTATACACTCCCAGAAATTTCCCCTCAAAATGAAGAAATGATTCGAGCTTAATCCCACACAAGCATAACACTCCACTTCAAATGAACGTGGAAGGTACGGGAAAACAGGAGGAGGGCACCCAGCGAGCACATCCACCCCTATAACCCCCCCAAGAACAAAGCCAAATACGACGCTGACCCAACCCATTCTACAAGCCATCGACACAATTCTAGTTGCTAACGATAACTCTTACAAATCCTGGAATCTACTGACCCGACAATCAAACAAGACGAAGTACACATTAAATTAATTTATGTAGCTGATTAAACCTAAATAATGCACAATTATGTATGTATGTACTTCTTTCCTCGTCGTGGGAAAGTATCCAATTTACTCCTCTCATCCCGTACGTATGTATGCTAGCTCATGTTACTAAGTAATTTTGCCATGAGTATCCAAGTCTGCGTATCTTTTCTTGGGTTCTAATTTAAAGTTTACTCGACTATATTCTCGCCATTTGGCAATATTCTGGAAATTACGTATACCTCGTACCCCCAGATATATCGTTTCGTTATACATGAAAATTAGCACTGAAGCCAACATTTTTGAACAATTTTATGCCTTACAATATTTTTGAGTTAATCTAGTTAATTATTAACCAGATTGTATTAATAAGTTTCCATGATACTTCTATTCCGCTATTTCTGTTAACCATCTTGGACACCCTGTATTTACTCCGTTTGAACATTGGCTAATGTGTAAATATTTATTTAAAAAAATGCCTTATTTGAGTTTCAGATTTCGTGATCATTAATGTTTATATTCGGTCTTAGCGTAGAGTGGAATATATTAATTGTTTAATAATCATGCCATTTGAATCTTATAAATATTTACAACCGATTTATTGGAGTTGTTTTGCATTCGTATTTGGAGAAAGTGTGCCAGCAATTCTGCTACAATATATAGGTGACCATACTCCTTAAGTTCAGGAGGAAAAACCGTTTATAAAATTGCATGGATTTGAAATATTGATGCATTTACATGTATGAATGGTTGGTCGCGGTCGAGATCGAGAAACAGCGTATTAAGAATTTCTCAAGACAATATATAGCAAGCTGTTGTGGGCAAAAATAAAAAATACTTGCAACGAATTATAGTAATTCTACTAATTATTCTATGTAATTGAAAAGGTGCCCGGATCAATTATGCGATTCCTGTTTATCATGTTTCGAAACCACAATTTTTAAAATATTATGTAACCGTCTAGTTTTAAAGCGCACCCCCATCACCGGGTGCGGACTAAATAATTGTGGATTCAATTTGCACAAATTGGAAAAATTGGAAAAACTCGTGTCTGGAATGAATATTATCGTGTTAGAAAATAACTCTAAATATAAATTTTAAATATAATCTATGTATAAAATATTCACAAATTAATTTACAATTTTGATGCAGTAACCGGTGAGGTGGGTGGAGATTTAAAGGTGACAGTCTATTTTGCTTAAGATTGAATGCGGCGGAATAACTGCGATGAAGAAGTCCTGATTAAAATACAAAAAATTATTAAATTTCAACAGACCCACAAAAATGTGAACTAAATCACGAAATAATTAAATACCTGATGGAGATTGTTCAAAGAGGAGAAGTGGGGTCCCAAAAGCATACTTGCCTTCAAAATTATTTGGAAAAATTCGTGCAATGTTTTTCTAAAATAAAAGAAAAATAATATTGTCTAACGTTTTCAGTTTTTGTTAATTTGGGTGTAAAATTGAATGCTTTAAAGTTTCTAAATATTGCTCACATGGAATTGGATATTACCTCTGAATTGCCAGACGTTCGTTAATGCCTTTTTTCTTGGAGAGAGGATAAGGGTACACGCAAATTTATTAGAGTCACATTGTAACAACGGATTTAAGGGGTAAATACAAATTTATTGAGTTGTTTTCGAAAATTGCTGAGAAGACGAGAATGTTCCTGGAGTTGAGGGGAATCGTAAAGTGCGATATAATGGTGGAGGTGGGTCTCGAACATGTAAAATTCTATTTCTGACTTGGCAAGATTCCTACATTTCTCCCCCAAGGAGTACAGTGGCCGCGAAAGCTGTGTGGTCATACGAGGACACTAAAATTGTATTGGAGGATGATATCGGGGGGATATCTTTAGTAGTTTCAAAATTCGGTGGGGACATGCCACATATCCCCACGCTACTGCGGACAAGGTAGGAGAAGTCGGCTGCATGGATATTACTCTACTTGCAAGGGAGATTGTCACCAATGAAATAGAAATATTAGAGCACACATTATTTCTTCTTTGGGGTACACACGTCAATGTTTAATATATGTATAGAAACTTGTGAAATTAAAAAAAAAACTTTTTTATTTGAATTTGAAAATTACAATTTGTGCAGCGATTAAATTGAAACCTGGGGAACTAATTGGATTATGAAGAAATACAAATATTGTATTTTATTTATGTGTAATATTTTGCATGTAAAAGATATGTGTAGAATTTTCTATGTCTCCACCTATCACTCGCAAACCTTGATTACATCAAATGTATGTTCGGCCGCATAGGGGCGCCCCTTAGCCTCCGGCTCCCCGGACAACTTCACTGCTTGCTCGCCCCCACTTTAGGGCCTGCGTCGAACTAATGGTCGACGTCAACGTCGTCGACATGCGACCATACTGACGACCATAATGTCGACCATAGATGAAGACGGTGCTGGACGTATGGTCGACATGATGGTCGACAATATTTTAACATTACCGTTACATTACTTTATTATTACGTTCCATGTGAAAATTAAGGTATTGCCGACAAAGGAAATAATTAGGATCACGGAGAATGGATCATAAAACCAAAATGATATACATAATACGACTATGCGAAAGTATATACAACTCACCAGCTTATAAAACAATAAACTTGAATTTTTCCAACGTTAAATTCAGTTAGGTACATAGGTAAATCTTTGGGAAATTAATGGCGGTCACGTCATTTGTGACGCAGGTAAAATATGTAACCAGACAAAGTTTCGCACAACAAGTGTTAATGGTTTTATGATTTGCCAGAAGTCCTGAAATATTGAGCTAGATTAGCGATATTTCACTTAATTTCGCACATTCAATGCTTATTAGTAGGTAATATTCCTGAAATTGCAGAAATTACCGACAAGTGGAGCCATAATAAAATACCCGCTTCCCAGAAATTCTGGCAAATGTCTCCAATAAAAGTATTAATCATTTTAACTGCGTCGTGTAGTAGTATAAAAATTAGTCAACTCTGTCCGCATACATCACAAGTTCACCATCTTTGCGGAACGCAACAGACCTTCCATAATGGCAAAAATTTTTATTTTAACGTTCGTGTTGGTGGCATTACTTTCCTGCACAAATGGAAATAATGCTTCGGGTAATACTTGATTCATAAATAAAACATGTAAGTTCTTGATCTTTCTGGTTACATATAGAATTTAAGTTCCTGGGAGAATACATTCCACCACAAAATAACAGTCGAGCGACTGCAACGGCGGCTGCCTCTGTGTATTACTTGAGTCGATCCACGGTAACCTAACTAATTCGAAACTAATAAAATATTTCAATTTATGTGGTGACAATACCAAATAAATATTTATTTCCGTAGGCAACCTGGGGCGACGCATGGTTTTTATGCAAGATATCTTTCGGAGGACAACTTCTCGCCCTGGAAACAAAATCAGAGAGTGATTTCATAAGGGACCTACTTGTGAAGGACGGAATTGGTTAATTTTTTTTAGAAAATTTGCGTGTGTTAAGTCTCTTTGTGTGGGAAGTCTGCAGCGCTCCTTTTAACGTATTAAATACTCACGTATCCCCCATAGGTCAAGTTTGGACTAGTGGGGCTTATGATACGTCAATCAGCATGTGGAGATGGGCATCCACTGGCGTTATTGTTGACTACGCACCATGGGGAAACGGTCAACCCGTAAGTCAGGAAGACAACGATCGTATTGCAGTTTACAACACTGTCTTTTCTAGTGACTGGAGATCCGTTGATTCAGCTGGTCAACGATTCTATATCTGTGAAGTGTAAAAACTAATACTAAATATAATAAAGTTATTTTTGTCGAGGAAGCGAAGAATTCGTTCATTTTTGATTTACCCGTAGTCCTGAAGTCACAGCAGCAACGACTGCTGTCCCGACAACCACTGTTACATCAACAACGCCTGGATCGATAAGTAGAATTAGAGAATTCTTTTCTTATTCGTATTAATCATGTGCACATTTTCCTTAGTTTCCAATACATGTGGGGATGTCCTTGACGGTCTTACCGGTAGAATTGATTATACCGCACCAGCTGCCGCTATCGAATGTTCGTGGACTATTAGATCTAGGACATCCTCAAACGTAACATTCCATGTAAGAGATATACCCAAAGATTTGGCAGCAGATGTGACATCTGTCACGCATTCTCAACCTTATGCTAGATCAAAATGGTTGGTACAATGGAACTCGTAAGTCTTCCCATTATTATGCCGTAATTGTATTTTGATTATAACGAGAATATGAATTTCCTCTTTGACAGTGGACCAATTAGTCGACTTGTAAATGGGGACATATTTATCGTCACAATCTATTCATCTTGGAACGCAGAAGGTGGGAAATTTACTCTGGATTTTGAAGGTAGCAACGACCATCCCTCATCGCCCATGGGTGGATCCAGTGTTATGTTTGATGGACCGAATTACGATAATTATGAAACGAATATAGTACCCGTTCGAATTCCGTATTCTTTCACACCACGTGCCAATCAATTAAGCTCCTTTGTTTTCTCCACTCAAGGCTATTTTTCTGAGAGCAATTATTACATCCTGAATTTAACTTCCCAGTTCAGCTTCCCTGATGCTTCTTGTAATAACAATTTGAGGATTTACAGCAACATATACAATGGTTACATGCTTGAACAATTGTAAGGGAAATATTCAAAAATTTTCCAGCAAGTTATCCGAACACTGACGGAGGTACTATGCAATTCTACCGCATGGGGTAATAATTTTACCAGCGAAAGTATGCAATTATTTATAGACTAAATCCTGCCCAGTCCCCAATGTCACCGTAACGGAAATAAAAATGTCACCGTCACCGTTACTCTTGGAGACTAGTTATTACCGAAATTGTCTCCCCGCGGTAGAATTGCATAGTGCCTCCTAGGGTAACACAATTGTTACCAAATTATTAGAGTGTATTGTTCCTTTGTCCAATATAACAATTAAATTTATTCAACAGATTATGCACCTCAGACACTTACACATTTCGCGAGACGGTTACTACGGTGTTGATCTTTGATACGGGATCAGATTATGGAACTGACCAATTTACCTTTGAATATGGATGGGCTAACAGGTGGTGAAAAGCAATGACCGAGTTTTTCCATAATTTCATGTTTATGATTACAAATTAAAATGATCGAATTTCATTATAACTTTGGGCCCCTTGCTATCTTTTCTAATGTAAATTTCTGAGCCCCATTTCAGACAACAAATTAATAAAAAATTTTGTTTGTGTTGTAATCAAACATAAACAATGCAGACTTCTTATGGCAAAATACTTCATTCTAACATACATTCATTCTAACATAAATACTTCATTCTAGTACATTCAAATGAAGTATTTTGTTAGTGAAAAATGTGTATTGCAACACCAATTTTTCATCTATGTGGAATTCTAAGTAATTTATGCGAATTACTTCAACTTTATTATAATGTATGATTCTGTATCTTGATTTTCTATGACATCTGGAGAAAGATTTTATCATACCGTTTGGGCGTATTGCTGCGTTTTCTTAGCCGTATACGGTGACGCTTTGTTATGATGAATTTAGACTTTTTCCACCACCCAAGGACACAATTCTACAATTTCTTATTCTACCAAATGTATGTATGTACTTTGTAGGGTGGGTTGTTTCCAGCCCTGCTGCGTTAGCACGTGAGTGCTTATTGCAGACTCCCTATTATACAGTATACCGTGGCTGTGAGTTACTCTGAGTTTCACCGCAGTAGCTATAACAGTTCGGATTCCCCAACTAGCTACCACGGTTAGAGAAACCAATTAAGAATGGCAAACCAACCAGGAGGGTGGAATAGCTATACCCACTGTGCTTACACACAATGCATACAGGGGCACCACCTCAATTTTATCAACCCATAATACGGCCTGATCGAGTCCCATTCACCACGGTATTATACTTTATTGTATGTCCCTTGTGATACTATGGTACTATAGATTAGATACCATGTCCAACCACCTCAACAGATCCCCAATGGTCTGCTACAACCACTAGTTCACTGGCGGGACAGCCAGTTTTCTCCCAGGGCAGGTTTTGTGTGCTTTTGGGGCACCCATCCCTACCCTTCGGTTGGTTCATAAGTGCTTAACTCCAGTCCGTTTATAGGATCTGGAGCCATCACCTCGCCAACGCTGGCTTTATTCTACCAAAGGTGCAATCCGTTGTCTCTGAATCGGTCTACATGAAATTATATGTACTTCTAAATTCTGGTGTAGGCCGTGGCATGGGATTGAAATTCCGTTGGAAATCCGCACCTAGTATAGCACATTTCAAGGCAGGTTTATTTCTCCTTCAACTATGCACTTATTTTTTTCCTTTTATTTTCCGAGGTCAGCATAATAATTTGACAAAAAACAATTATATTTTGACTATCACGGAAGTGAAATATTTCGCGTTTTCAATGTATCTAGTGTAATATTCTAAAATATTTTGTGTTTCCTAATGATGATTTCTTGTAACTTGATTTCGTATTTTTCATAAATGTTTTTTTTATTTACCTGCAAATTATCTATTTAACTCTACACATTAAAATTATAAAATATATAATTATGTATGTATGAATTTAAAATAAAACATTTGTTTAACGTCCTTATCCATATGGGCACATCACTGCTGAGCACACTGGCCCATGCCATCGTTATCATCGTCTTCCATTAAATTATCGTCAGATTCAGTTGAGCCATCTTCAGAATCCATCTCGTCTTCCTCGTCACTGGAAGAGTCGTCCCCGTCAACGGAATAGGTTGGGTTATTGTCTTCCCTTTCCTGCAAAATGTCGAGGTCTCCGTTTTCCTCCGGTATGACGAACTCATTGAAATTCGAAATTCGAAATTCTTCGTTCGGCTCACCATCATCTCTCAGCAGGTGCCAATCCCCACGTCTGGTGAGGACAAATCTTTCTTGATCAATGTTCGCATTGGGAAATCCCATGCTAAGCTTACACATAAATAATGTGTATGCAGGATCCTTCCCAGATCGCCCAATTTCCGGGAGTATAATTGTTTTCACGGTGCGGCAAGCTGCTTCCTCGTTCGGAGGTAAAAATGGGATGAAAGACCTGAAATTAAGGAAATTAAATAAGAAAGTGATTGATTTAAACGGTAACCACGGTAACTCACTCATTCTCAGCCAAACTCAAAGGATACTTGTATTTCAAAAACTTCTTTTTCCGATCAAAAATGATGGTTTCCAAAGCGGGGAAGGAAACCCCATAGTCGATCTGTAATCTGGTAGGATTTCCACGTTCCGCCGTTACATCTTTGTTCTGTACAACGATCTTAAGGACTTTCAATTTTGGACATATGGGATAACCAGTAGCGTGGAAAAATTTGGCAGGATTCTGAACTCCTAAAGTTAAATGTTCTAAAGTTACTGCATATTTCTGTACGAGGTTGAACAATAATTTAGGCGTTCTAGAATTCCCCGAGGGAACGGATACATTTTTAATTTCAAGTTTTCTGTAATCACAAAAAAATTGTTGTTAATTTCGGCTGAAATTGTATCCTCCTATTAATCACGGCATTGTATCGTATTTCTTTAAATAGCTCAGATTACCTACCTCAACTTCTTTTTAAAATTGACTTTCGTGAGTCCCTTTATTAACGAGTCGGGGTCAAGAGAAGCGTTGCTTCCATTCGTGATCGAGAAGGAATCCACGTTTGCCATCATATCCGGATACTTTTCCAGTGTTTTGAAGAAAATTGCATTAAAGTTTGTTAGCCGTGCTCCAGTGAATTTTATCCCCTCCAATTTTGGAAACATGAGTAAAATGTTTAAAATAAGCTTGGTATATTTCGTCTCGAGTGACATGCCTGGCCCTCTCCCAACCATTAAATTTCTCTCCTCGTACTTGAAGCTTAACTGCTTGACGGATAAGAGTTTTAAATCCTTGGTAAACTTTACTGTAGTCGCCCACTCTTCCGTATTTAGTGATGAAGTAATCTCGAGTGCGAGAGACTGGAGGTTCTCCAATTTGGGAAGTATGCTAAAATAAGAATTAATTGTCCAACAATTAAAGTCAAGAAGTGTTGTTATTTAACCACACAAGAAACTTACGCCATGAAAACGCTCCATGAATCCGCTTTGAGAATTAGCTGTAGAGTTTTCACAGTTTTTCCATAAGTTTGGAAAAACCAGGTCAAATTTTGCAAATATTTTGCGCGTTCGTAATCCCACATTGTTCCTTCTATCGGCTCCCAATCGTCCATTCCTGTCTTGATACACTTTGGGATTGGATTGAGATCCAGGGTTACATTTTGAATTGGCAATATTTCTTGAAATGCTTTTAAAGTTGGCCAATGAGGGCACGCTACGCCAGGAATGTCAAAATGTCCCAGAGTACAGAAAAATCTGTTGCTTTCTTTTCTCCACTGTTGGCAAACTTGGCGAGCCGTCTTCAATGCAGGGAGGGAGAGATGGCTAAGGATTTTTGAAAGTATCTGCAACAAATTATCGAAATTAATTATTGGAAATCTCCAGTACAGACCTCAGTTAGCAATTAACTGTCTATTAAATTGTCCAATTCCAAGAAATTTAACAGTTTTTAAGGACATTTTATATACATTTGTGTATTTAAAAAAAATTCGCCACCCCAGGTAAAATTATAAATACTCTTCTTTTAAACCTTACGATTGGATTCTGAATCACACTGAGAATAAGAATTTGTGAAATTTCGCAAATGTCCAGTCCCTTTTCTTTTTGTACTGTTGACGGTTTACCATTTGCAATCCCCGTGTTTTTTGCAAGTAGGCCGGATGCCTCCTAAAAATATAAGTTTGAATCTTTATTCCAGAATATCATTAAACTTTTAGACATACGAAATATTTAAACATCGAATCCGGAATTGGCCTCCCCTCGCGTTCCCATTGTTTGAACCATGGATCGCGATGGTCCTTTGGGAATGAAATGATGTCCTCATTTGCCAGCCTCCTCTCCTCCCCCTCCATCAATTTCACCCCGTTCACAAATGTTCCCGTGAAACTCTGTGGAAGAAAGATGATTTTAATTTTATAAATTCTCCCCTCCATTATTTTCCTCTCGTTATTATCGCCACCTGCAAGTCCTTGATGAAATAGTGTTCCGTCTTCAGCCAAATTTCGGCGTGTGGGTTCATAACCATGGCGATATTGTTATCCTTCACTTTCACCTTGAGTATGTTCGCCCTTCCCTGTGAGCAGCAGGCGTCGCGATGAAATTGAGTGGTTATTAAGAGCTGGAAAAAAACTTAATTAATTAATTAACAATTTATTGAGGACAGGTATTTTTTCTAAGTACCGGCTTATCCGTTGGTAAGACCTGCTCGGCATTTTTTTCCCACCTCCCACCCACGAATTTGTGCTGCCATAATTTAGCAGGTACAGAAAATTGATCTGCATTGATCTCTTTGTCCTTCAACACCCCCCTATTTTTAGCAGCTTTGGAATGCATAATTAGTGTTGATGACTAAAACAGTTTATTTTTGTGAAAAAATATGTGTGCTTTTACTTAATTATTTTATTATGTTGAGTTTTAATGTTAAACACATGAGTTGCTGGCAGTCTTGTTTTTTGTCCGTTGCGCACCCGCGTCATCGTTCGTTCCACCCCCCTCCTCACCACCACCACCATCTCAACGTTCCACTCTGTGAAGTTCCATGTAAATTTCCATGCAAGCATCTTCTCTATGAAAAATGCATTACAATACTTATAATTTGGCAATGCACACTAATGCAAAGCAGTCAAGTTAAAAAATGCATACTGCTACAAAACTAAGGTAATCGGTAATGTTGACTATGCATCATATGTACTTAAAATGAGGTGAAGTGAAGTGTAATTTCAAAATTTGGACGAGACTAAATTAATTTTCTAAATAAATTTAGCTATAAATGACGTGATGATTTGTCTGCAGGGTGACATTAATTTAAAGTATTGATTTTTAATTTGTAATTTAAATTTAAATCCTCCATTACTAATTTGTCAATCTCTGTTTAATATTAATAATCATCATATTCAATTTCGAGTTGTTATCGTCACGTCAACCCATGAGCGTAGGAAAACAAATTAATTAACTGGATTATTAAAACTAGAATCAAATCATTAAATGAAGAATATTATATGTAGAGTTCTATAATGCGTCGTGGAGGAGACTCGCCTACCTGGAAATCGTAGCATCAAAGTGAATGTTGGCACATTCACACTGTGGATCATAATAACGCATACGCACTTTTCACAAAGTAAAGTGAAAGGTGCAGCGTTGACATTCACTGAACGGCTTCAGTGCATTACGTCAAACCAAACCACCACCGCTGGCAACAATGATCAAACACGGCACAAATCGCGTTCTTCAATAGAGTGGAAGTCTGCTCTTGCAGTAAACTCATACAGATAAGTGAGTATCTTATCCCCGTATCATGAGATTGATGATACGCAGGCTTACATGATTTATTCCATGCCACCAACCCATTATTTTTCTCCAGCAGCAGTTCAGTTTTAAATAAAAATAAAAATTGTCTTCAACTCCACTAGCCCGAGTCAAATATGTCACACCAAATATTCTTTGGTCTGGGACAAAAGATTGGTCTGGGACAAAAGTTTGGAGCTTAAGATCAGTCGTAACCTTGGTTAGTAACATTTTATATAAGTTCCCCAAAATTTAAAGTTTGTTTGTTTGTTTGTTAATGCTTTATTAAAATGTCTAACAAGTTCACAGTAATCAACTTCTCTTCCACTAGTGACACATTAAATATACAATTTGATATAAGTAACCTAAAACTACTCTAACTTAACATTTTAAAAATTTGAATTAACTAGTAAAATAAGCATTATGAATATGTTCCTTAAAATTATCATAAGTCAAATTAGAATCAAGGTCAATTTGTTTTGTTTTCAGACAAAAATTTCTGGCGTTATCAAGAGATGAATCCAGGTCTTGTCTCTTATCCCAGGATAGAAGACGAGCAACTGGTCAGAAGTGAGGCAGAAATTGATGAACGTATAGAAAATCTTAAATTATTTACAAATAAATCCGGTAAAATTCAAACCCTGGTCAAAATAGAGGCATTTATGAAGCGGATGGATGCTAGAAGAAGTACGGCTGGTTTTTCGGATTATTGAAACTTGTAAAAGAAATTTCAAACGCACAAAAATTTAATTGTGGTCTTACCGAATAAAATCATATTGTCTGCTGAATTTTTGTAAAATGGACGTGCATTAATGTTAACTTTATTCACGTTCACTGCTTAAGCAACAAGGCGACGTATAAAGTTATTTTCAAAAACCGCAAATAAAAATTGGATATATATTTAATCATAATTATCTACATACTCTGTAACCCCATATGTCATGACTAATTCCTTTAAATGCATCCACGCAACATTAATATTCGAGGTAGTCATATAAATGTTGTAGGACCAACAATATTTGCATAAAATTGCAAATAAAATTGAGTGTTTTTCCACTTCCTTAAACCACTGTACTGCAACATTGCAAAACTACAAACTTTGTATTTGTGGGCAGAGAAAGTCAAAGGAAAAATAAGCCAAACGCAATCAAAGGATCAAAACTAAGGAAATAAGGAATTGACACTAAAAGTATTTATGAAAAACATGACACGACTTTCCAAGACTTAAGTACAGCGGAGAAGTTGACCAAAGAAGAATATGCATGGGTCTGAAAAGTAATATTAATAACTAGGGTATTGGTTGGTGCATGAAGGTGGCTTCGCGTCCACACGTATTATCCTTCCAATGCTAAGCGCTCCATCAATGCGAGATGGGTTTGCGACAGATAGACAGACAGAAGTGGCTAAATATACAAGTTAATATAAAATATGGTTACCCATCTCTATCTATCTGTCTGGCTGTCAGAACGTATCCCGGAATGCTGGAGAGCTTAGCGTTCGAAGGATACTATGGTCGGAGCATTTAAACGGGACTCAATGGTGCTTTAGTTTTGCTAAAACTTGCTGGCGCACAACGCAATGCTTAATAACATTGAAAATTCACTGCTCAAAAAAGTATGGCATGCATGTAAAATCGGTCCAGGTGAATTACACAATTCAGTACCAATTGGGTCGGGTAAAGTTTTGCAAAATTTAATCTATGCTGACCAACTTTGGAGTATGTTCGAGATATGTGAAATGTTATCCTACTGAGAGCCATTTATCTCTGACCTTTGTATGCTGATCACCGCTCAACTTACTATGATAACTACCATTGTGGGAATTATTGGGAGGATGATGTCTCTGGTTATGACTTGGATAGCGATTAAAATTTGTCAGTGAGGATTTTGGCCAATTATGAACGAGGAGAACTACTTGAACGGGGATGACGCATCTTTGTGCTCTTTCAAAATGAATATTTAAAAATTAATTATTTACGACCACTCCCCGTTAATAATTGTTATACACGGTGTCGTATTTTGGTTATATTTAAGATAGGCTATGTAGTGTATGTGAATGAAGTGGTCGAGACTTGAAGGGATTCACATACAAACTAGAGTCTCTACTGAACAGCAGTCGTATAGTTTTACATGAGAGAAATATAGCAGAAAATGTAACACAAGGAGAGGTGGATTTAGTCTGAGGAGGGGCAAGCTCTGGACTCATACTTGTAACAAGAGGATGTGACGTGGAAGGACACGTCGGCAGTATAACTGGGCTAAACTGGAATAGATTTGCATTCTAACCTTGAGTACATATCGGTAGTTGCATGAAAAGCTAACACATACATATACCACAGGCTGATTATGTATTTTTTATCGATATGTCGTAATTTTGTTGCAATTACGACTTTAAAATTCAACGATTCAATAATTAAACATGACTAATTTTCCGGCTGAAATGTATATATTCTGTTGAAATAAAATAATTCAATATCTTATCTGTGTCAATAAAGGCAATTTCGGCTTATCGGTGTTTGGTTGACATATTTATTCCATATCATATCTGTGCACATATTCTGCCACGACTTAATCGATCCCGATCAGTTATTATTTGAGATCGGAACAATATTCATCGTACTTTTATAATGGGACAGTTAATAATTTTGATGACGTTGTGTGCCATAACATTTCGTGTAACGCACCAGTTTTCACAAGTTGACCCTAAATTTGTCCCGGCACTACCATGCAACCTATCTGCTTGCTACTTACCCGATTGTCGCTGCAGTTCTGACATACCTCCAGGAAATTTAGTTGGACCCAACATTCCACAGGTTGGTTTACATTTCCTAAATGCAAGTACTCTTTAAAATTAACATATGACGCATAGATGTTGCTATTCACATTCGATGGGGCAATTACATCTACAAACCATCCATTTTTTGACCAAGTTTTCAACGACAGGAGAAACCCAAACGGAGCACCCATATCGGTCACTTTTTTTGTGACACACGAGTTCACCAACTACTCCTTAGTCCATGATTTATGGGCCAGTGGTACTGTTAATTACTATCACGTCATGTAATTTACATGATTGGAAGATTAGTTGAAGCCCTTACATATTTTTCTCAAAACTTTTACTTTAGGTCACGATATTGCAGCCCATAGTATAACGTACAACCGAAATATGGCATATTGGAGGACATTGAGTGAGTCTGGGTGGCGGTCTGAAATTGTAGATCAACGGGATCAAATCAGTCGCTTTGGAAGCCTACCTACATCATACGTACACAAATCCATTATAAAATTACAAAATTATTTCCTAATCACACACGGTTACTTCTTGAGTTTTGTGTGGTTAATACCACACTGGAAGAGCCGGCGTCCAAAAGGCGGTTTTAACCACCTGTTGGACAGTGCGAATTAACGGTCAAAATGGTCAATAGGTTATATGAATATATAATTAACCAAGATTTGACCACTTTTGACCGTTTTGACCACTTTTGTCCATTGGTTTTGAACGGCAAAAAAAGTTCGGACGTCCAAAAAGAAACACTGCTTACTTTCAGATAAAAGGGATGAGAGCTCCCTACCTTCAAATGGGTGGGAATACAATGTTCACTGCAATGAGTGGTTCTTTTGAATGGGAAAGTTCGCGACCAACCTTTAACCAAAGGGTGCCTGGATTGTGGCCGTATACGAATGACTACGCCTCCACACAGGACTGCTTGATACCGCCATGTCATAATGATTCTTTCCCTGGATTTTGGAGTTTTCCAATGATTAATTTCCTATCAGAGGATCTCACACCGTGCAACGTTCTGGAAGAATGCGTCCCAATGTATGTATGAAACAATTTACGGTGTGTTTTAATCGTTATTTATTGATAATTTATTGATACACAGTCCCAGGACAATGGCAGGGATGTATAATTTACTCTTGACCAACTTCAACGATCAGTATCAAAGAACTAGGGCACCTTTGGTTATTTCGACACACGCAGCATGGTTCCTAGGACCACCGGATAGGCCAGAATATGCCCAAAGGATGTCGGGATTAATGCAGTAGTGCTAATATTTATGTACAGGATAGTCCAAAAGTCGCTGGCCAGTTTCTTAGTGTTACTATTTACTTTTGGACCACCCTGTATAATTATAACCATTTTGAAGATCCCTTTCTAAGTAATGCATTGTATTTATTACCCATTTATTTAGATTTCTAGATTACCTGGGAGCGCTCAGTGACGTGTACGTAATTGGAATATCACAAGCACGCGCATGGATGCAAACTCCAACTGGTATGCCTGACATTGATACCTTTGTTCCATGGCGGGAAGATACAAATCGCGTCAGGTCATGCGTCTTCCCCAGAAATTGTAGATATTCCAACGGCACTTGGGAAAGGTTGGTGGTGACATTTTTATTAAAAATGTGTTGAGGTTGAAGTATTGAGGTTGATACACTTGTAGAATTATGAGTTCCTGCATCCCATGCCCATTGTACTATCCAACACTGCACGATCCACTTGGGATTGGGGCACGATACTTCGGTAATGATGAAGGTCAACTAATCGGATTGATAGATTGATTGATGTACATTTTGAAATGGGTAGTATTTTCGTTGGTAGAATTTGCCTTAATTAAACTGGCAAATTATTTTACTTTAATTAGGAATAAAGTTATGAATACTTGAATTTATTTACTATTTATCATGTTCCGATGCGTCACGGATGCAATTCATTCACTTCTCAATACCACACCTAGGAATTGGTTTAATTAGAAAATTAATAGAACCCAAACACAATCAGGGTTTTTTCATCCGGCACGGATGGAAGATGATTAATCCAAACTCATATCATATCAGCATCTGGACGTATGCTGATTCAGCACCAACTTTTCTCACAGTTTTCTTAAAATTGATCGAGAAAGTTTCATGTCGTAAAACTTTTACATGGCTTTTCTGCCGAGGTGCGATATTCATCATGCTTTTGGTAAGGCGTTATCATGATGATAAATCCATCAGAATACGTAGTTGATAGTAATCATTGCTCCCGCTCTTAATAGGGCTTTGGACTTAGCAGAGGCGGATTGGTCATTCCCGATAAGTATTTTGATGACATATCAAGGCTGAGTAGGCAAAATGAGCAAACTGTTGAGTTTGACCAAGAAAATTGAAACCGTCGCGGAAATCATGCTTGACCGCAAACGCCAAGAAGATATTGTATGGTTAATTTACAACCTTACCAACGATGTTACCTCAATTAACTCGGTTCTGGTCAAGCTAATTATGTGCGAGATATACGTTGTAATTTAGGTTAACGATTATCAGCTAAAACATGAATGATACTGATAATCAATTATTTTTCAAAATAATCGTAGAAATTGATGATTATTTTTCGACGATTATAATTAGACTAAAATTGATTGTAATCGTTAACCGTGACTAGTATAGATTCAAGGTCAATGAAGCAGGCCTCGTGTGAGATCTATTCAAGTTCACTTTTTTTAAGAAGAGCAGATAAACCTTCGTACTTTGGTTACCAACATTAACACTGTTAAAGACCTATGTCCACCATCATTGGTAAACATGAAATATCTGTTTCCCAAATTTATGGGCGACATAAGTTAAATGCAATGTTTTGGTAACCTGTAAAACATGGTAAGATGCTTTAATAAAGTTTGTCATTTCTTCATAAACATTTATTTTCTCGTAGAAATTTTACAAATGCACAACTTGTCTATGGCTCTATTAACCTAGTAAAGTAGTAACCTTTAATATGCTACTTTTTCAGTTTCATCAACCCTGTAGGTTTTCCTTGTACGTCATGGAGAAATTTGTACTAGACTAAAATAACCTACAAATTGAATGATTAAGTAAAGTTACAATAAAAATACAGAGTTTAACAATAAATGTAATATTTAGGTATTTTTAACAAAACATAAGTTCCATTAAATTCCTCATGAAACTTTTGGAAATAAGGATTAAGTTCGATTTAAGATTTAAAACATATTAAAACTGCACTGCAAATAATTCGGGGTAGTCACGCGGTATAAAATTCTTGGTGTTAATTTGGTATAAATTTGTAACCATTTGGTGTTAATTTATATCCATTTAAGTGTAGCACCGTGTGTTATAAATTTGTCACCGTTTTGGTGACAATAATTGACACCACGGGGTTTAGTTATAGATATATGCACCGCGCACGGTGTTAAATTAACACAGGATTATTTGTAGTGTACACAGTTAAAGAGTGCTAACAACGGTTCTGTAACAGGGGAAAAAATTGTGTTATTTTCTACCCTCAAACACACCCTGGCAAGAATCTAGCCCCAAATAAAATGGCAATCATCGTCACGATGTTAGGCCCAAAACTAGGTTCACCATTCCAACTTCCAGTTTCGCAGCACGTAGATTTATACGCTGTCCAAGGGCAGCCCCACTCAACCCCTTTTCCCCTCGCAGTCGCAGCGTACCCGCGACGACACTCGGTCTGCCCGCTATTCGTGCAAGTCGTATTGTAACAGTGGCCCTGTTGTCGAGAGTCCGAACAGCAATACAGTTTGGTATCTAGGCTACTACTGCACCCCTGATTTCCTCTGCTCTGCTCTCTGTATCCGTAAGGACATTGGACCGAGTAGGTAGAATCGCACAGGGTTTCGATGCACTGCGGGAGGAGATCTTGACGACAGCACATGTTCCGTTCACGACCGCTTGGACAAGCTAAGGTTTTTATAAACATAAATTTTGAAAATCTTGAAAAAGATTAGACATTTTTACATTTTTAGAATTTCCGTACCTCTTGAGAGTGGGCAAAATTTAGGGAACAAATTTGTAATTTATAGCGGGAGGGGGTAGTCTTTACATTTTTGAAATGGAATTTGAAAATTTAGCCCGCCCTCGAGACATACGGAAATTCTAAAAAGGTAGAAATGCCGTCTATTATTAATATTTTTAATGACAAACTTTTTCTGTCAGTGAACATTTCTGTATAAGATAACGGACATCTGGCGTATTGTTGACAGTCTGAAAATATGCACCCCTCCGGTGTTCCGCGGGATTGTTGTTGTTGGTCTGAAAAATTGAACATGAGACCTTAAAAATTGTAAAACTTGTTTTTTTAAAATTTCCTTACCATAAAATCCACCCTGTGACGAGAGTCCATCCCTTCCTGCAAATTGATCGTTACCAGAACGACAACAAGTTTTTCGCGACATTCTCCACCCGCACTCGTTCTGTCGTTCCCCTGAGCGAGAGTTCCCCTCTAAGAATCCCGCCGGGCAGGTGGGGTTATCTGCGCAGGTGGTGTTAAAGCAGGTGGGATACTGTCCTTCAGCGCAGCAGTGAAGCTTCTGCTCGTTTGAACCACCACAGCCAACCGTGTCCCGGCTCCATTCCCGGTAGCCATTGGGGCACCTTAAGTTCGTACCAGACTCACAGGAAGTATCGTAGCACGGGGGTAGTTGTCCGGGGCGACAGCAAAGTCTCCGTTCTCGGCCTTGTGTGCAATCTAAAAATATTTAAATTTTTTCTGCAATTTTTGAAAATATCTATGGATGAATCTTTTTCCGTACAACTTTTGTCCGTTGATAGTTCCTGTGAGTGTGTGACGGGGCATCGTGGAGGATACGTCTCACAATTAGTGTACTGACAAGAGTCTCGAAAATCGGAGCTACCTTTAAGAAAAAGTAGACAAATGTTTATACGTATATTGGTATTTTTTAGCAATTAACCTTTGCTAGCCCAAATACGAGCTAAATTTCATAATAATTTGAGGTGAAAAAGGTTAAGGAATTTTACCCTGGTAATTCTGTTGCTGATTAAAATTTGAGTTCTGACTTGGGTAATTATTATTTTGGGGATAATTTCTGTCGTAATTTTGTTGATTATTGGAAAATGGATTGTTTCTCTGCTGCGTATTAAAGGGATTCTGATTCTGTCGGGTATCGTCTCCAGTTCTGCAGCAAGTCCTCATCTCCAAGTGAGCGGGGCACTCCCAACCCGCCCCTTTCCAATAAGCGACTTGACCATACCCACCCGGACATTGGTTTGAGAGGTCTCCCGCACCGGAACAAGTGGTGTTAAAGCACTGCGGGAGATGTCCATCGATGCAGCAGTGGAGTTTAATCTCGTCGTTCCTCCAGCACTGGGACGTGGACCGACTCCATTCTCGGTAACCGTTGAGGCAGGTGGGCGACGGGCCGGAGCAAGGGGTGTGGTAGCATAGCGGTGTCCGACCCGGGAAGCAGCAGTATTTCTTTTCCTTCCCGCCGGAACAAGCTAATTGGAAAATTAAATTAGAAATGAATTGATAATATTATTTCTCAGAATGTGTACGAGTTTATCGTCCATGCGACAATTCGTAGTAAGGGAAATTTATTTACTTTTTTAAATTCATGAGCTTTTTGCTACATTGCAAATAATCCGGTGTAAATTTCTTGTTTTAATTTGGTGAAAATTATTGGTGTAAGATTGTCACCGTGTGGTATAAATTTCTCACCATGGTGGTGACGATGACTAACACGACCGCGGTGGAGTCATATTTATGTACCTGCACCTCACACGGTGATGAATTAAGACCGGATTATTTCCAGTGCACCAAAAATCTTGGGCGACTATTATTGCAAAACTATGTTTTCGCAACATTTCGTTACGAGAAAACATAATTTTTTATCATTATTGCAAAGCTCCACGTTTTTAGGTAACTAAAATTTTGAAAGTTTAATTTCAAATAGTTATACACGCTGCCGTGGATTGCGAAGAATCACGTTAAGAAAAGTAGGCGACTGCTTTTTGAAGCAACAATTTTAATTGTCAAAAAACGACCTCATATAAGGAAGGAGTAATAATTTGATTAAATATTTAAAAAAATGTTTATACTGTATCGTTCCGTGTAGAGTTCCATCCAACCATGCGGACATTTTGAGTAGGAGTCGCAATTCGTCAAACTGCATTCCTCCTGATGCTGGGAATTTGGGGTGTTCCCCCCACCATCAAAATACTGTTGACCAAACGTTCCCGCAATGAGAATAGTTAAGGGAAAAAATAACCCGGTAACAAATTGTATCCCCACCGCCTAGTAAAAAATAAAGTCAAAATTGCATAACTTGCAAAAAAAAATAAATTAAAAAAATGTCACCTTTGTCATGTCCTTTTATTCCTTTCGATTTTTTGTAATTTTTAATTAACTAAATATTACTTCCCGATTTTAGCCAGATGTTAATTTATAAACAGCAAGAATAACAATGGTAATAAACTGTTTATGAATTTGGTATGTGAGAGGATAGAAAAACCAAACAAACCACTTTTGCTTTTGCGACATGTGTGCAAATAAAATGAGCTTCAAATACATAGCAACCTACTAGTTTTGGACAATAATATGAGGATGCGTGATGAGACGAAGGTAAGTAAGTAAGTGATTAACCCTCTCCCTCCTTCGTTGCAAGGTAACTATGTAGCAATGAAAAGCACAACACAGTCAAAGTGATGGGATGAGGGTGAGCAAAAAAAAATACGAGCCGAGTTAAATATAATGCTGACTCACGCTTGTTCATCAAGTTGTATATTGCGAGGATGCGTATGAATTAAACATGTTTATTAATATCCTGTCTCACCTGAATCACGCACGCATCGATTTACTAAAGCGTGAAAGAATCTCTGAAAAAGAGGAGAATATCATTTCGCATTTTTATTTATTTATGTAACTTTACATTGTGTACTGGTCTATTTTCATTTCTTGAATGATGCATGCTTGTTTATGTATGGGAGGAATTATTTTAGCACAATTTTTTAATGATTAAAATTTGTGGGATTTGAAACCCTTTAATCACATTGTGAACTCATTTTACATATAATAATAATAAATATGACTCATGGCAAAGTATATAAAATTCTGTTGTACTGTTCGAATATATATAACAATGTATGATTTCATGATAATAAATGTACGACTTTCGACTTTCGTGCGACTGTTTAAATATGCATTGTAAATTTATTCATTTGCATCTTCAATACCAGTTTTCTATATATTTGTAGGAATAATGAATTTAAAAAATTTGAGGACATTATTAAATCCAGATTAATGAGATGACATTGTTTACAAATGTAATGGTAAATAAAGTTGATCAGTAAGCTTGAAATTGTATGTTGTTGTTAACACTTGAGACATTCAGTAAATAAAAAAACAGGACCTTGCAGAACTCTACTCCATGATAACGACCGGAAGAGAAGACTATCTCCCAGCTAAGAAGTCCAAGATGCAAACTATTGATGCAGGTCTCCACTACGGAAAGTGTTAAATTAATTTAAATAATTTAGAAATTCTAACAACTACCTTAGTGTGTAATTAACATACCAAAATTCCTTGCAAAGTTAGTCGTTGAAGGGTGTCACATTTTGAAATGAAATCCTGCAACTTGCCACCATCACATTCGCAGGGCAGATCTTCACAAACGGTTGGCTTACCGGACTCGTTGCGGCAAACAAGTTTCAATTCTGTGAGGCCTAGTAATGAAAACTACTTAATTAATGATTATTTGGTTATGAACCGTAACTTCTGGTTTTCATTAGTGCTGCATATTTTGTGTCGATAGATTTTTCTCTACATAGACAACATGGAGTAAAGGGTAGGGAAATAATTTCTTAAGGATAATTTCCTGAATTTAACTTCACTAAATCGTGAGAATATTTATAATTCGAAATTCTAGCACAGTTTTCGTCGAATTTCACATTTTTACGGATAAGTACTGTGGGAACGATAATGCGTTCCGTCACATTTTCGGCTTGGGGACATGCGGAGACGATGTTTGAGGGAGGAGAGAAAATGACCAAAAATAAACGGACTGGCCAGGCATTGAAGCCTGGTGTCTCTTGTATCCCGGACAAGCGCTCTGCCACTGAGCTACCACTGCCGTATATATTTGTCATTGGTTTTCTCTCCGTCTCATATTATCATCGCTCCTACAGTACTGATCTTTAAGATTATTCGAATTGCGTCGTAATGGTTTCATGGAGAACCCGAATACGAAGCAAGATTTTCAAAATCTCAGCTTTTATGAAGTTATTTCAACTCGACAAAAGATTTAGTTCTTGCCACGTTTTTCCATGTTCCTACTGTAGGAGCGATGATAATATGAGACGGAGAGAAAACCAATGACAAATATATACGGCAGTGGTAGCTCAGTGGCAGAGCGCTTGTCCGGTATACAAGAGACACCAGGCTTCAATGCCTGGCCAGTCCGTTTATTTTTGGTCATTATCTCTCCTCCCTCAAACATCGTCTCCGCATGTCCCCAAGCCGAAAAAGTGACGGAACGCTTTATCGTTCCCACACTACCCTAGAGTGAGTCGTGTTACTCCTAAAAGTATTTGAAAACTAGGCGTATTGTGGTGCCCGTGGCACCACGGCAATTACGAATATGAAATTTGTCGTTTCCCCAATCATGATCGGATCGGGGCGTCAAGTATAGGAACTTCTCGTCTACTCGATCATGATCATCGTGGTCCACTTACTCTCAGAACCACACAACTAAAATCGAATTTTTAGATCGGTATGTTGATCGTAAATTTAGTGTTTACATATGCTTGAATGTAGCTAAAACAAATCCTACTCTCCGGTAGGGGTCGTACGGAGCCTGACTAATTGGGTGGTGATTGCAAACCACTGTCAGATCGAATTTCTTGTCTGCCATATGCCTACTGAACTCAGTAATGCATTGTGAGATAGGCTGAGAATAATACATAGAAGGGATGCGTTACAGACAGGCAGACAGACAGACAGAATTGGGTAAATATAAGTTAATTCTGTGGGAATCCGGCTAAAAATAATGGTTTTGTTTTCTGAGTACTTGAGAGACATTTATTTACCTAAGTGCCGGACCTGACGTTCCATTGGGAGACCCAAACCTTGAATTACGTGTAGATTCCTCACGTCGAAAAGTTCCTTTGATAGGGAGACCAACTTTGGAAAATTTTCAGGAATTAGGAATTCGTCAATTTGGAAAACTTCAGAGGCAAAATTTTGTAAAGACTTGAGCCTAGGGAAAGCAGAGAATTGAGTTATCTGATCTGCATCAGGTGAGTATCCGCTGTAATGCTTGACGCCGAGAGTGAGGTGTTCTAATGTGGGAGCGACTTGGATTAAGAAGGGGTGAAGGTGTTCCAAATTTTGAATTCTGTAAGAGAGTAGAAGTGATATTAAGGTGTACCCTGTTGTAATAATTTTATGAGTTTTTAGCCCGAGCCAGGGCTTATGTGTTCATCATGTCTGTCTGTCCGTCTGTCTGTATGACGACACGATAACTCTCTTTAAACTTATCCGATTGACTTCAAATTTGGCGCAAACGTAGATAAGGTCAAAAGTGAGGCTAGGTTCGAAGATGAGCGAAATCGGTCAGGTCGTTAGCCGGTGGGTGTATGGTGCACCAAATTTTGAAAATTGTCATATAATGCTGAAATTTGGTACAGATGTCTCTAAGTAATGAAAGAATATGGAGGAAGTTAGGAAAATTTTTATCCGGTGAGACTCTATGGGATGACCCATACCGATTTAAAAATATTGTCCTAGAAGTTGTAGTATAATTTTTCATTGTAATTTTTGTGATTAAATTTTTGTAAAAGTAAAGCTGCAATTTGAAACAGAAAATGTATTGAACTGCCTCTGGTTATCTGAAGTCTGCACTGCAGGTTTTTTATACATACTCGAAATTCATATTTTATAAAGGTTCTGCCAAGAAAATGGAAAATTCTTCGATAGAGCAACTAAATGTTAAGGTGGTGTTTCATAGATTTCAAATATTAAAATATTTCTGAATTTGTACAAACCCAGCTAACTGATATTTTGAGGATTACAAATTTGTATTTGCGGTTTCTTATATTTATTTCACATGTAGAAACGATCCCTATGATTAGCACCCGTACTCACCTAAAGGTAGTATCCCCCACGGCCATCCACTCCAAAGTTTTAAGCGTTTTCGCACATTTTCCCAAATCTGGTGGAGAAGGCTGCATGAATTTTCAAAACAGTTAGGTTTGGCGCTGAATCGATGATGGTTTGCAGATTGGTGTCCACTTTATGCATTTCATAGCCATTCTGGTAGAACTCAAATACTTTCAGATTTCTGAGGAGCACTGGTCTAAAATTGGGGATAGCTGGGTCATGACGTGATTTTGTTAGGGCCAACCTGACCAAATTTGGGAGCCCGTGAGCCACCAGGGTTTCTACGAGTGCTGGCCAAATTTCGGGAACCATTACGAGGTAAATTTCCCTGATTTGGCACCACCAGGACGACGTGGGAAGTTCGAACGGGTTAAAGTCACTTGTGCCTTTTACTGAGATTCGTCTTAGAACGGCAGGGTTGATTTTTTGAATTTCTTCCAGTGTGGTGAACTTGTGGAGGTGGGACCCTTGCTTCATTTGGAGGATGATCCTCGCTCCGAGCACTGTAGCTCCGATGGTGTTCCAAATATTGGAGACTTGGCGGAACAATTTGGCACAGTGGGTGTCCAAATGGGCAAAAATGTTGGAGAGAATCTGAAAATTATGTAGTGGTAAAATATTTATCATAAATAAACGAATGCCTTAAAGTTTTTAAGAACTTGAATGAAATGAAATGTTTAGTCCTAAAGTGTTTCTCGCGGATTTATCTCTGCACAGGTTTTAAGTTGCATCTTGCAAATTTTTACTGCTTGTGCAAATTATGGTTGTGAGATTAGTAATAATTGAATTCATGCTAGTAATTTGACACGGTATGTTTTATCAGAAACAATATTTCACCAGAGTATTTCTTACGATCGGATTTTCCAAGACGGACTGAGATTTTAGAGTCGATCTTGTATCCATGGCTCAATGTTAAGAGGAGAAGAAATTAATTTGAATATCGTCAGGAGGACAAAGTTGGATAACTATGTATGTGGATACTTATTTTTTGAATCGTTGTGTGAATATTTCTGGGTGATTGATGGCGAATAAATGACCAATGGTGGAATGGAAATAAATATTTCACCCTGGGAACATTGAAGTGGCCGTTGGAATGACTGCCGCCGTGGCTGAGTGGCGACGTAGGTTTGAATTTCCAAAGGTTATTTTGAGAAATTCTTAGAAGGGTCGTGTTAATAAGGGTTGCACGTACTTATTGCCTTTTTTCTTAATAAGTATATTCAGATGTTAAAATTAGATGTAGCGAAGGGATAGTCACAAAAATATCCATTAGAATGACGCATTTATGAATTTTTTTTTGTAATGGTGCTTTTTGACTATTGTGTATTTTACAGCTTATATTTATCTTTTATATGTATGTGTATCTTACTTTAAGGTCCTTAAGGAGATCCCAAAAATTATATAAATCCTTAATTTAAGGATTTATATAATTTTTGGGGTCACCTTCAATGGACAGTTACTTGATGATGGAAATATTTCTTGGCTTGTGGGTTTAATCTATTTCTTGCCCAAAAATCGTAGCCAGAGTAACCTAGAGATGTATCTAAGAATTAAATTATCCAAGGTCTCGTAATTCAATAGGTAATATCAATTTATTTCTTGGAAAAGTACATTTTCGTTATTTTTATAAGTCTGGAAATGATAAATAATAATGCGTATTTTGATATGCATCTTATTTGTGTTGACTCATATAAGTAAAACACCGAAATGCATATCCTAACAATTTATTGCGTACTAAATTTATCACATTTGCCGCAAGAAGTTTTATCAAGTCACGTATTTCCACCATAAAGGAAAATCCTGCTACGGAAACAATACCCAAACAGAGCATGAATAGTGTTAAAATTGCCCGATTTAATCCAACCGGCGCTTCCCGGTCAACCTTTTCGACCGGCGTACGTTTCGAATTCCGGTATTCCGATAGACTTCCTCTTTTTGTAATCGGCGGTATATTCCAGACTCGATAAGCGCTACGAAATATTTGGTTACTTTCGTAAACCCTTTGTAATGAAAGTGCCAACTATAAGAAACTGTCTCTAGGATATCCTTCCCCTTTTAAAACGTTTTCGTGGGGTACATTCTAGACAGGAAGTCAAGCTCGGTCAGAACAATGTCCGATTTAGAGATAAAAACTAAGGGCGAGAAATTGGTTGACCTCACACGGTGAAAACGAGCATTTTTTCAAACTTTGAGGTCAAATTGCTGGACTCACAGGTAACATTATCGAAAATAACAAAACATCTGTTTAATAGTATTAGTTAGTCTACAAAATAAGGTTTGTCCCATCAAGATCCGTGATAAACAGTTCACGATGTCGCATTGTAAGTGCGGTTGCCAATAACAAGACGTGGAATGTAAAAATTAATAGGCAGGACATTTTAGCTCGCACTTAAAATGATGGGATGACAGATGAAGTTGGACTGGCTAGGAACTGTGTCCAACCCAAATTTATAATCGGTTGTGGTACTACGAAGAAGTGGGTGTTAGATAACATCGCTGGATCAAAGTCGTGATGACTCATTGCGAGGACAGTTACATATATGAGATAAATTTAATCTGTTTCAAGGATGCGTGTATTTATTTGTCACCAATTTCGTTATGTTATGACCTACATATAACTTACAGGTCATGTTAACGATAAGTTTCTATTAACTCAATCAATTATTAGCTCGCCCTGCGAAGCATGGGAGCTATTGAACTTGTCGTGTCCGTCTGTCCGTCCGTCTGTCTGTCCGTCCGTCTGTGTGTTCCTATGTTTTCTCCGCCAATTGGCGCTTTACAATCTCCCCCGTTTTGATTTTAGACAACTATTTAGCCTCAATGAATAAGAAAAATTGGAAAGAAATTGATGCAAAATAATTGAGAAAATCAATGGACAAATCATCAATAGTGCAAAATAATTGGAAAAACTAGGCATCAAATTCTGACAAAATTTTGTAATTTAAATCAATACACATAATACAAAATAGTAAAACTATGTATCTACCTTGTGTGGTTCATTGGCACTGTTGGTGCTAAAGTGTCCAAACTATAATATAAAATAGTTTGGAATTGATGCAAAATAATTGAGAAAATCAATGGACCAATCATCAATAGTGCAAAATAATTGAGAAAACTAGACTTCAAATTCTGACAAAATTTTATCATCTAAATCAATAAACATAATACAAAATAGTTTGGACTCTTTTGCACCAACAGTGCAGAAAAATCACACAAAATAGATACATAATCTTGACTCGGTACACAATTTTGCGCCAATTATGCATAACTGGACTGGACCAACGATTTACATAATTGTAATTCATTTGCACCAACGGTGCAACACAATTGCACCATAATACCATGGCTAAACAATATTGACCTTATTGCACCAATAGTGCACAAAAATTGAATTTTTTTATAAGAGAGTATAGGGCGAGCTATTTCTAACGCATGCTACGGTTTATTTACCAATATTCTACGCATGGATTGCTATACCTTGTTGGTGTTGGTAGAGCCAAATAAACGAACCAAGGCAGATCAGCAAGTATGCGATAAATTTTAAAGTGCAGAGAGAAATAAAGGAAATATACAAAACATATAGTGTCAGGACAAACAATGCTATCGGTTATCAGTCATTAATTCTGCGATAACAATATTTTAGTTATAAAAATACGCCCTCCTCCCACGTACACGATTCTGACTCGTAAATCACATCATTCCTTTGCAGGTGGTTTAAGTTGTCTAAGGTTGACAAACGTCGTTATTATAGCGTTTTGTGTTAATAAAATAATGTACATTTTAGTCATATTTCTCCGCACGAAGGGTTACCAAGACAGGTATGATGAAAACGGGTATAGCACGTATAATGCTGCCCACGGATTCAGCTGGACACGGAGAACTACCAAGTATTCTGCCGTCTGGAGACGTGAGGCTTGTTTTAGTTGTAATTGGTACAATTGTGGTCATTATTCTGACCAGTTCATCAATTCCAATTATACGACAACGGTGGCCATCTTGTGCGAATTGGACGACGAAGTGGTCGAATTTGTAAGGGAAGTAGAAGCCAGGGGGGCACATAAGGCTAAAATTAGGCTGTATTCGACTTTAAAAAATCAAGATGCACACCAAATTGCGGCAGAGATTGAAAAGTATTGCCTTGTGGTAATAATAACGAAGCGTTGGTAAATTTATATAGTCATGGATGATTAATTTTGTTTTAATATTTTTGAGCAAGAATTGTATCGACTGGAATAACCAATGCAGTTTCTTGACTATGGAGGAGAGTGAGTACAACGGAGGCCTTAATGCAAGGAACGTTTCTAAAATTGCTGCTGGGGATGTGCTGCGAGAAGCTGAATTTATTTAAATTTAACGAATAAGTCGGTGACAAAAAATTATAGGATTGCATTCTAAATTGATAATGAATTGTTTTTGTTTAATTTTTTAGTTATAGATTATCACATCAAATAAATTAGTGGCACAATAAAAAATTGTTAGTATTTGTTTTTGATGTATATATGCCCTAATTTACTAAAAAATCAGATCACAGATTAGGAGCATTGCTTCACAAATGTTTCAAACGGTCTGAAAATTTTTGCGCGATAAAACTTGATCTTTTCAAAATCAGATAACTTAATAAAGCTTTATTGGAAACTCGTAATAAACACATTTGCTTTGGGTTTTAATAAACATGAATTAATTTTTATTATACACGAAATAAATACGAAGATAAAAATGTAAAATTGTCCCAAATACCGACCATAATCGACGTGTATGTCTAATCCTGAGTTAATATCGAAGTTTGTTTCATCTTTCGCAACAATGGTTAACTTTGTGCAGATAAAATGTTTGTAACTTTGAATTGGGAAAATCTACCTGTGGCCGTACCCGGATTAACTTAAGCATATCCTTTCTATAACGTAATGCTGGGCGCATTTCAATGCATTGGAAGTATGTATGGACAGTAACGAGCAGAGGCACCGCAATGTGAGAATGACTTCTCTCATGGATTATGCACATAATTGTTTTGACTTTACTAGATATTCTCCTGTGCTATTTGTACCAGTGTTTCTGCTGTTTAAAAACACCTGTACAAAATTAGTGCATAAAAGTGTTTTAAAACGTTAAAAAACACCCACCCAAACTGTCTTCATTAATATTCTTCGTGTTAAAATTATTTAATTTTTGCAACTTTGAGTTTTAATTTTCATTTTGCTAAAGTAATTAGGGCAGCTCAACACTTGTGTACGAATAAAATGAGAATGATATGACTTTTAGAGTTTTTAGAGTCATATTGAGCCTAATTTTTAATTTTATGCACTTTTGTGCATTATGCATGCATAAAAATAATTTTAGGCGCCTAAATAGAAACACTGATTTGTACCGATTTGCAGAATGATATTTGCTACATGAACGTATCGAAATTACCTTAATTTGTATTTACTTGTAGCCAAATTTGGCACAATGTCGGTTAATGTAATCAAAAAGTCGTCCCGAGTTACATCTATTGATAGGATCCTCTTGTAACATTTCAATAATTATCTTCCCAAATTTATGGACACATTTGGGGATAATGTTTTTGATTAAGTTTCGCCTACTCTGTTCTCTCAAAGTTATTAGCTTTTCGAAAACATCTACTTTGTCAAAGGTATTTCCGCATAGTTGAACTAATTCGAGAAAACATAAGCCCAAGCTGTAAACATCAGTCTGGCTTGAGTAAACTGAACCATTTCTCATTTCCGGGCTCCGATAGATCGCCGTACCTGCGGGATTCCCATAATATTCCTCTTCCTCAGAAGTTACGGATAATCCAAAATCTGCAATCTTCCAAACGATTGTATTTGAATTTACTAACACGCCCAAAATATTTGCTGGCTTGAGATCTCGATGAATAATCTTCTTGGTGTGGATATACCTTAGCCCGATTGCTATCTGAAGGGCCGTTTCCCAAATATTGGTGACTAAGGGGGTATGACAACCGGTTGTGTTTTTAAATTTTGCAATATATTTATCGAGAGTTGTATCGCAAAATTCTAGTTTTAGGAAGAGATAGTTTCTGCCGTATGCAGAGGTTGGTATGCCCACGGAAACCGAGGCTTCTTCAACAACGGTGTCTATGTAGGCTTCCAATTGAAGCCTCTGAATGTGTGTGGTGATCCCATTCCTAGAAGTGCACGCTGCCCAACAACTATCGTACTTGACGACGTGATCAGAATTTAGTTTGCTGAGGACGCGAACTTCGTTGAGGAGTTTTGAAAATAAAACGGCGGAATCGTTCAGCGGCATTGAGTTAAGGGTTTTATCGATATCGACGCACTTGATGGCACAGCCGGACAAGTTGTAGACGTCCACGGTGTCGATAGCTTTGAGTACGGTGCCAAAGTAGCCACTGCCTAGTTTTCCTAAGGATTGGAGGGATGGGATGGTCCGCCAGAGGACGGGGTGGGGTTCCAAAGAAGTTTGAAGGGCGGTTAGTTCAACTGGAAAGTATAAAATGGATTTCATAATTTGAGATATTTTCAATTTTAGAAGTTACTAATGAGGATGAGTTAATGATAAGCTCATTTTTTTTTAGCTCAGCTCCATATAAATTGCATAACCTTTATATTTCAAATTAAGAAATGTTCCTAAAAATAATGTCTATAAAAAATTTCTTACCATTTGTATTATCCAAAACAGGTTGGTGATTTGTTCTCCGCTTCAAAACAGCAAATCCAACTAATGCAATAATTACCGCAACTCCTATTATAATCGCAATTAGCGTAAGCACTGGTATCATTGATTCAGATTTGCTGATTGTAGTTGTGGTTGGAACTGTGTCTATGATTGCGGGAATATTCGTAATTTCCGTCGTGGGTGGAGCAATCGTTGGTGTAGGCGTAGACAGTAAAACATCAATGGTTTCAGTAAAATTAGGAACTCTGTCAGATGTCTCCTTTGAACATCCAAACTATACAGTGGACCGGATATAATGGTGCAATCGCAGTAGCAGAAATATTGTGAGGGAGGGCCATACATCTGTGGTAAGTTGGAGAGATGTTACTGATAAATTACTAGTAATGATGGTGTCATGATGCTGTCTAACCTTTATTTTGGACTCCGTCTCTGTAAAGTAAATCCTACCAGTTTCGTGATTCTCGTCCGACTCATTCACCGCAATTAGCTGGCAGCCTTGCCGGATCCGAATTGATTTTATCTTTTCAGAAAATTGTTCCGTTAATGGTTGTCTCTTCTTGAAACGAATGGATAGCCCGGTGTCATGGCAATCTTGGCAGTCCTCCTCGAAGAATAGGATTGCGCAAACGTTGGGGTTAGTCATGGGACGATTGTGGCATCCGGACGAGTCCATTTGGCAGAAGGGATTTTCTTCATCCTATTTTGAAAATGGCGGTGTGGTTAAAAATGGAAAGGATTGTGCAACTGGGTTAGGAGATGTTTACATCACAATGGCAGTAAGTTTGTCCAATTAGGTAATCCGGCTAATAAGAAGATGAGAATTTGTGTAATTAATAAATAGTCAGCAACCCAGTTGGAAGTCTAGTGTCCCTTAATCTCAATTATATTTTAAACAAATAAATAATTGAATTTTTATTGGGTGACATGCCTTGCCGTAGGACAAATTATTTTGTCCATCCTGTAGTATCGTACATTTAGATCCGAACGACCCATCCCACCCACAAACGATGGTAGTGCAGGAGTTGTGCCACAGCTGAGATTTTGTGTCCTCGATTCGTCCTCCGAGATATTCGTAAAGGCTCGGGATGGACTCCTTCCCTTCATAAATGTCCAGCAGACTTTGTGGTTTTTGTAATGTTATATTATTTTGTAGTACTAGGGAGGCACACTTTTTAAGTTTTATTGGCGTATATGTATATGTAGGGGATATAAAATAATTAGCAAGTATGCTTAGATAAATTGGAAGTGTGATAAAATTTAGTTTTGAATACATATTTACTTAACTTGTATTAGTGGATGGGATTTTTAATAGGAATCCCAGATGACGAGGTTCAGATGGAAAGTATAGTGGTGCCCATTGTCTGAGATGATTGAATGGGTGACAAGTGTTTGCATCTAACTGATAGGATAATTTATGCAGGTGCGTCAGAAAGTTATGAGGAGATGATGATTAGTTTTTTAGTAGCCTATCTTCCACCACGGAAAGTTGGGACTGTAAAGAATTATTTATGGAATTGAATGTGGTGATTTTTTACATACAAGTGAGCATCTGTAGGTATTTAAGTATATGTTGGATTGTACGCATAGGTGCAAGTTTGCTAATAAAATGTATTACTAGTAAATAATATGCCTCGTGATATTAAGTATGAGTAAACAAAATCAGTTTTTCTTAGGTGAGGCAAAGCCGGGCCGCGTCTAACGGAAATGTAAATATGCTCAGTGGGGCCCGTCGAAGCTAAGTATGCGTTCCTTCAGGTTTCTGCAAGGTCCCACAAAGTTTCAGCGAAAACGATGCATCGCATCGAAAAATGACAAGAGGCAAAATAGTTACATAATTCCGAATTTTAGTGTCTTTTTGTTTCGAATTTTGAAATGGTTTATCCATTAGAAAACGAGTTTCGAACCCCTTACATACCTAAATACATTGAAAAATATAAGAATGACCATAACACCAATTTAACAACGAGAGCAACTATGGTGTAGATGGGTTGCGTCTTGCCTCTCCGGATTCTTCGACTTGTCCACTTTACAATTTGCAAATTTTTGCTACGTTTTTCGTGATTGGAATATACTTTTGTGATTGATAATTATTTACACGTCGTAATCAGAGGTGGGCAAAATACTTGGTTTTGAATATAAATACAAATTATGTATTTTGAATGTATTTAAATACTTACAAATATTTAACCCTGTTTTAGTTCAATTACAAAATTCAAATACAATTACGCCTAAATAGATGAAGATACAAAATAAAATACAAAATAGTATTTTGTCCACCTCTGGTCGCAATATATGAAAGGCTGCGTTGAAAATATTTTTAATAACTTTAACATTTGTGGGTATCGCACTTATTGTTAGTATGGCATAATTATTTTTAGAATTGAATTATGACATTTATTTTTTATACATATTTATGTAAAAATTAGCTCATTGTAAAATTAATCAAAGATGGTACTTACAATGAAATGCCGTGAACTGTTTATCTCCAATCTTAATGGGACTAATTTTAATTTGTTCACATCCAAAAATAAGCGGACCCGTATTTTTGCTCTAGCGATAATGCGCGCATTTGAGCGCCAGGCGGGAGATTCAAATAATTTTTCAGCCAAATTTTCGGATTTTAAAATCGCTGTAACTTTTTGAATTTTGGCGCGAAATCAGAAAATTAAAAACATGTATTCTTAGAATTATCTCCTGTATTTAGTAAAAATAATAGTTTTTGGAATTTCTAAAAATTCAAATTTTATAGAATTTTGCAAATTTCCAAGAGTTTTAAAATTCCCAAAACTTGATAAAAATTCGAATTTACAAAAAATTTTGAAAATTGATTTTTAAAAGCTAAAACAGGTAATTCTAAGCATACATTTTCTTAAATTTTTAAATTTGCGCCAAAATTCAAAAAGTTACAGCGATTTTAAAATCCGAAAATTTGGCTGAAAAATTATTTGAATCTCCCGCCTGGCGCTCAAATGCGCGCATTATCGCTAGAGCAAAAATACGGGTCCGCTTATTTTTGGATGTGAACAAATTAAAATTAGTCCCATTAAGATTGGAGATAAACAGTTCACGGCATTGCATTGTTAGCTATGGTATGGGTATTTTAATTATAGACAATTCTTCCTGAAAGGTTACGTGGCCGACCTCGTAATGCCTAATAACATTGAAAATTCAAATTTGAATTACTTTTTCATTTTACAACCGATTTCAAAAATCTCGACTGTTTTGAAAACATATGACCCTTGTGCAAAATACTTATTGTCAGATTTTGAAATTTCGACCACACCCACCTATAATCAAGGTCACAATGTCAAAAAAACATCATTTTTCTAAACCTATTAAAATGTTGAAATTTTAATATTTTTCTACGGGCAAGCTTTTAAATCTTATTACTAGGACCCAAGCCATCATTATGCGTCTACAGGCCACGAAACCGTCACTCAGGTCAATGTGGGTGTGGTCAGTGGGAGTGGCAAATATTTAGTTATAAAAATTTTAATATCCTACGTCACTTATTTTTAAATTCAACTCGACCTATACGTTAAATTGCAACGTGTGTCGTCTGGCGACGTCGATGAATGGCCACACCCTCAGTGGGTGTGGTCATCGACGCTTTCGTTATGCTTCATCCAAACCATGGCATGTAACATATCATTTTTCTCAGCTCCAGACAGCGAACCCGACAGTGTATCTGAATTTCGAAAATAGACAAACCACACCCCCAGTGGGTGTGGTCACCGGCGCTTTTGTGGTTATTAAACCTAACCATGACATGTGATACATAATTTTAATCACCAGAAAAACGCCGTCAACCTTGTAACTTCTAATTTTGGAAAACCACACCCCCTCTCATGGTGGGTGTGGTCACCGGCGCTTTTGTGATTATTTAAGCTAACCATGACATGTGATACATAATTTTATTCACCAGAGAAAGGCCGGTAACCCTGTAGCTTCTAATTTTGAAAAAACCACACCCCCTTTCATGGTGGCTGTAGTTATAAGCACTTTTAAAATTACTTAAGCTAACTATGACATGTGATACATAATTTTAATCACCAGAGAAAGGCCGGTAGCCCAGTAGCTTCTAATTTTGAAAAAAACACACCCCCTTTCATGGTGGGTGTGGTTATCAGCGCTTTTAAAATTATTTTAGCTAACCCTGTCATGCGACACATATTTTGCATCACACGAGAAACCGCGATCGCAATTTTGATAAACCACAAGCCCTCCCCTAGTGGGTTTGGGCATTAGCTCTCTCAGAGATATTTAGTAAACTCACAACATGCAACACATATCTTCCATCACGAGAGGAATGCCAATAAACCTGTTCCATGTGACTTGTAGAAGCCACAACCTTTACCCTTGTTTTTGTTGGCATCGGCGCTTTTTGTATTATTAAAGCTAACCATTTCTTTTGACGCATCTTTTTGATCCCGAGTAAGGGTGGAGCGACCTTTTTTGACCCAATGTGAAATACATGCATCAATAATTTTGAAATTTCAGATACGTGCCAAGATTTCAATTTCGAACAGATTTCGAACACAGTTTCTCTTGTGATACAAAATATGTGTCGCATAACAGAGTTAGCTTAAGTAATTTTAAAAGTGCTTATAACTACAGCCACCATGAAAGGGGGTGTGGTTTTTTCAAAATTAGAAGCTACAGGGTTACCGGCCTTTCTCTGGTGAATAAAATTATGTATCACATGTCATGGTTAGCTTAAATAATCACAAAAGCGCCGGTGACCACACCCACCATGAGAGGGGGTGTGGTTTTCCAAAATTAGAAGTTACAAGGTTGACGGCGTTTCTCTGGTGATTAAAATTATGTATCACATGTCATGGTTAGGTTTAATAAACACAAAAGCGCCGGTGACCACACCCACCATGAGAGGGTGTGTGGTTTTTGAAAATTAGAAGTTACAAGGTTGACGGCGTTTCTCTGGTGATTAAAATTATGTATCACATGTCATGGTTAGGTTTAATAACCACAAAAGCGCCGGTGACCACACCCACTGGGGGTGTGGTTTGTCTATTTTCGAAATTCAGATACACTGTCGGGTTCGCTGTCTGGAGCTGAGAAAAATGATATGTTACATGCCATGGTTTGGATGAAGCATAACGAAAGCGTCGATGACCACACCCACTGAGGGTGTGGCCATTCATCGACGTCGCCAGACGACACACGTTGCAATTTAACGTATAGGTCGAGTTGAATTTAAAAATAAGTGACGTAGGATATTAAAATTTTTATAACTAAATATTTGCCACTCCCACTGACCACACCCACATTGACCTGAGTGACGGTTTCGTGGCCTGTAGACGCATAATGATGGCTTGGGTCCTAGTAATAAGATTTAAAAGCTTGCCCGTAGAAAAATATTAAAATTTCAACATTTTAATAGGTTTAGAAAAATGATGTTTTTTTGACATTGTGACCTTGATTATAGGTGGGTGTGGTCGAAATTTCAAAATCTGACAATAAGTATTTTGCACAAGGGTCATATGTTTTCAAAACAGTCGAGATTTTTGAAATCGGTTGTAAAATGAAAAAGTAATTCAAATTTGAATTTTCAATGTTATTAGGCATTGCGAGGTCGGCCACTTACGGATTTTGGAAAAGGGCAAAATTGTCTCTAATTTTAATTCCCGTACCATAATTATAGTATTAAGACGACGCGGAGATCCCATTCCGAAAGTGTGGCAGATGTACCGTGCGGGAGCGTTGGGATTTGGCAATGTGGCGAGTAAGTGTTATCTTATCGGCAAAGGCGACTTTGCAGTGGGGACATTTTTCAGGCTTTTAGCTAGGGTAGGAGCGAAGGTGTCTGATAAAGAAATATAAATGTGATTAGCGATATATTGTTATGGCTACCGTTACCTGACCATTAGAAAAATGGGGATTTTTACCCCGTCTTCAAAACGTTTCCTGCAAGTATCAACGCTTCTTTTTGATATGTTCCTCAAATTTCTGTTGGTTTTCAAATCTGGAATCGCACCTGTCGCAAAGGATTGGTTTAATCGCTTCGACTTCATGTTCCTCCAAATGGTCCTCGAGATGTTGGCCGAGCCAATAACTGATGTCGCATTTGTCGCAGGGTAATTTTTTTCGTCAGTTTGGTGACGGGTGCCCAAGTGGATTGCGAGACCATGTAGGTTTTTACACTGTATGGCGCAGATTTGGCATTGGTGAGGGTGAAAGTCTTCATGGGCTAATTTTAAATGAGCGTGTCTGGCCTCCTTGGTACGAAAATGGGTGTTGCAGGACGGTACGGGGCAAGGAACAAGGTGGTAGCGAATGTTGTGGCGATTTAGGTTGGATTCAGTGAGGAAGGTACGTCGGCAGGAGAAGCACCAGGGGGGTTGGTAGAGGAGGTTGTCATCTTCATTTTCGGAGGAGTGGAGACTGTTTTGTTCTCTGCGGGTTTTAAGACGAGGGGAGGATCTCTTGGTGTAAATTGGGGTTCGGGACTCTAGTTCTGAAGCTTCCACTGTGGGTGATGAGCTTTCTCTTGGTCGTTTAACATGTTTACTAAATAAGTAAATAATTAAATAACAAGTGTAATACTGTCTTTCTCGTCATTCGTACATTAACAATGTCTGGCCGTGGTATGCCCAATTAATTAAAATAATTGCGTACCGTGATGCCGTATTTTTAGTAGATTTAGGTCTCCCCCTTTGCTTCTTCTGAAGACTTGGAGTAATGGAAAAGGCGGAGTCTTGCTCGTCATCCCCAGATTGTAATGAATCTGAATTGAAACCGACACAAATTTTTGCAAAATGAGACCATAAATTTGCAAATGAAATTAATGAAAAGAAAGTCTAGCATACCCAAGACCTGGAGTATAATTTTCCTTATTCTCTTCACTTTTTCGTCCCCATCATCGCCACGTTTTAAAGACGCAGAAATTGAAATTGTGTCACGAACTTGACCAATTTTCCTCACAACTTGTTCCTCCAAGAGGACGATTTGATTCCTAATTTCTTCCACTTCACTTAGAACAGGGTAGCAATTTGGGCACAATTTACACGTCTCCTCCTCTGCAAATTCATCTTGATAAGAAGATTTACTCCGACCTCGTCCTAAAGACTGGAACAGGGTCAAAATTGGTATTTTTCGGATGGTGGAGTCTTCCTCCTCCTTCTTATCATCGTCGCCCCCCTTGGCGAGATTTTGTAAACAGACGAGGCAGAATTGGTTTGACATGTTGAATCTAGAAGCCGAAAAATAATTTAAATATATGGAATAAAGAACATTTCATGAATATGTAAGTAGTTAATATTTCTTGTGTCGTAGCTGTGTGAGACCGTGTGAGAAACGATACTTACTATTTGTGGGGACAATAATTAATTAATTTCACAGTTAGTTTAAATAATTAAGAATTAAGAATTAATTTGCAGCAACTGAAATTGCAAGTGAGCAATGTTTACACTGGGAGAGATAGAGCAGCAGCTGGACTCAAATTCGTGCAACAAACTCTTCTCAAAAGTTCTCGTAAGGAGACTCCACTCGAGAGTCTCAAGTTGAGACTGCGTGCAAAATCCAATTTAAGGCTTTGTTCAGAAATGTATGTAAGTATTTCCGTGATTGTGCATCTGCAATAAATACTTTTGTAAAGAAAAGACTCTTAGGTTCGGCCACGATTAATTGATACAGTTCCTATGGTACGGCGTCCCTCTCTACACAGTTGCGACAAATGGAGGGTCTGAAAATAAAATATTAATTTTTCAAGACTTTGGGACAAAAATTCAGGTGAGGTGCCCCAAACTCTAAAAATTCTTGAATACTGAAGTTTTTGGAAGGAGAGGGTAGTTCACCACGAGTGATATTTTGCATATATGTATGCAAAATATCACTTTTCGTCTTCCATCATTTAATGGATAGGAATCTCAAATTTTGATGTTACGTAAAATTATGAGAATGTGAAAAGTCGGATAATAGGTTTGAAATTGTTTAAAAATTGAGGATGAACAATCAGTTAGGTTACAAGTGGGGTTTCCACGAGTTTTTGAGTTTGTGGTTAAATAAATGCGTAAAAAATGCGTAAAACTGCTTAAATGCGTAAAAAGTGCGGATGTAGTTTTAATTATATGCATTTACCTAGATAACAATTCGTTCCAATATGTTTTGAGAAATCGAGTATTACAAAGGGACTCTTTCCTTATGAACAATAGATTCTTCTAAAGAACTTAAATTTTGAAAAAATCACGCCGGGTATTAAATTGCAATTACATAAACTAATCCCTGATGTTTAATTTTACTAGTGACTCGCGAGTCGTGATAAGCTAATTTGCTTAGAAGGATATACAATGAATACGAAGAACGAATATTCGTAATACGAGGATAGGAGGATGTTGATATTAAAATTTTCCGTACAAAAATTATATGGAAATGAAATTGCGGTTCAGGAAATACTGCAAAGACTCGGTAACCATAGTTAATATTTCGGTAACGGTGTTATCTTACAATAAACTTGTATTCTTTTTTATCGCGATGCGGAGTCCTTTTTTTGTAAAAGTGTTTATTTGATTGTGAAATTGTAAGAAAAATTAAGAAAGACTAGGGAATCTAGGACAAATAGGGTGGATGAAAAGTCTTACATATTTCACGGTGCACTATTTTTATAAATTTGTCCACTAATCATAACTAAACATTAAGATGGAGAAATGTACGTACGTAACGGCTGGTGGTGCCTGATTGAGCAGAAATAAATGTTATTCTCGAATCATGACAGTAATAAAGAATAAATGTAAATAGTTTGCGTACTCTAATGTTCGGAATAGTAATAAATAATTTATTACTTAATGAAAATTAAGACATGCTGACGAAGTTAAGATTTATATTGACAAAAGTTATTTTATTAGCTGACAAATATTACGTGCTTAAAATAGGTTAATAATTTATTATGATGCTTTAAGTAGTTGGAGTTGTCATGTCGTAAATAAATCCCTGACGAAGAAAACGTGTGATTCTTGTACATATTTATAAACATAATACTTCGATACGACAAGTCGAGTCCTACGACAAGTCCTATTTATTTATCGAGAGCGAATATAAAAGTGTTTCCTTCAACATTGTGAACCCAGTATGGAATAAAAGTTGGCTAACTTTCATCATATTTCTTCCAACTTTCCGAAATTGAAAGAGATGAGGAATGTCTCAATTTTTCTTGCTGTTGCGACAGCTGCAACGGCAATAGCGATTGGAGGTTTGGGGATTGTTTCTGTTCTGAATTATTTGATTAATAATCTTTTTTTGATTTACAGTTTCCATGTTCAACATAACGAGAGACACCTTGGGAAAGCTACACAATCTTGGTGCCGCCGTGCGAACGTGCAGGTATGACGTGGTTGCCAAGGCGAAACTGGACAACCCCACGGCTGGAGCGGAAATCGAGCGAATTTTGGAGGAGCATTCAAAAAAGGCGTATAAGTTGATGGACGTCTGCTCCACTTTGTCCACCCTGTCGACGCAAGGACTGGCAGGAATTAGGACCAAGTTCATTACAATTCTGGCCGATGCGAAGACCGCGGTGGCTCCTTATCTGGAGAGGTTGTCCCCAGAAACACGAAAAAGTATTAGGGAAAGTTTCCGAGAGGATTTGGTCGAGTGGAAACGCCAGGCTAACGAGATTTATGGCGTTTTTGGACTGGAGATCAATAGCTTTCCGGCAATTGAGGGGGCAATTGGGATGATTGAATGGGGAGAGAGGGGAAGTAAGATTGGATGTGGGACGACTGATGGGGTGACATATTGATCTGCCGGGAAATTCAGATATGTGGATTCTTCTGAAAATATTTATTTCTCTTGATTTACTCAGTCTTGTGAAGAAATTGGATAAATGTTTTGATAAAAATTGTTTTCTCGCAATAAATTATATTTGAGTTGGAGAATAATTCTTTATAAGATTGATTACTTAATTACGTGTGCAGATATGTATGGATTAGCTATACAGATTTTACAAAAATCAGGTTTGAAATTTTAAGTACAGATCTAATTGAAACAGCGAGGTGAAATACCCATCGTACTGACTCCATGGGGTGGATACACCGTTAGAAGTTATGAAATTATATTTCTTCAAATAAAATTGAGGTTACAATTATGGTATCAACTTTTTCCAAAATATTATAATAATTTAGTTACATTCTATATCACCGATGTCGACCTCGTATGCCCGGTCGTACGGCAAGAAAGCGACAGTCTCATTGGTCATGGTGGTGTTTCTGGCAAGCAGTTCTGGCCTGCCGAGGAAAAATTCGTCAATTTCTTCCCTGTCCAGCCCGCGGAGTAGTTTCTAAAAGAATGGGAGCGAAAAACTAATTAAATAGTTGTAAGTAGAAAACATGATAAAATCTGATCCTCACTGAAATTGATCTTTGACGAAGACCAAAAATTGTCAAGCTCAAAACTCCCGCCAGCGCGAGTAGACCGATAACTACCCACATTATCCAAATGTTCCTACTTGCACCTTGAAGAATATTGAAAAGCTTGATTAGTAATTAAGTTTATTAAATTTTTATATTACTAAATTGTTTCTGATCAAAAGGAAGGTATGAATTCTGATTTTTTTAAATTAATATGCTTTGCAATTTTGATCTAAATCTAAATTTCTAAATTTTTTGGCACTACCTCATTATTAGGAAAAGTTCGTAATCCAATTAATTTTACCCGCTTCCTTTTCCCGCGCTTGTTCCTCCCCCTTGCGGAAAGTCACGTAACCACAAACAAACCCAGCATCCGTCCTAATCGAGTGGTTCGGAATCGACCCCCTCTTAATCCAACAAGTCCCCCCAAAAGATGTCGACCATGAAAAATGCGTACATTCCTTATGCAGGGAACACTCCCGCCCACAATTTTCCCTGTTCGTGAGAAAATTTCGAATATCGTTCCCCGACAGGTCACAATTCTCGGCCCGTTCAGGGTTCGGGATCCAAATTCATGTCTTCCGTACCTAACCTAACCTAAACAAAAAAGTTGCCGTTTGCAAATAAAAAACTTGGTTTTTTACCAATATGATTTGGCCATGGACTCAAGATACCTTCGCAAACCTGCGCCAATATGACTTGCCGGATTTGCGAAATTTTGCAACACTTTTACCCTTAAAACCATTCTTCTCAAATTATCTTACTCAAAAATCCATGTTTTTATTTCGCAAAATAATCTTGTGAAATTTGTCACGAAATAAAATCATGTCATGACTTATTTCTTTCAATACTTGATTTTATTGAAGAAAATAAAATTCATGGGAACAATTACCCTTCAATTTAGACCGATCCGTAATTACTGTAACCGTAATTGTGTTCCATGTTCTGTAGCAGTGGCTGCCTTTGACTTTGTCCAATTTGAATTTGACCATTAGAACTTGCTTCACCGGCAGTAACGTGAGTTACAGTGATCGCAGGGGGTGCACTCGCAGGGGGTGAACTCGCAGAGGGTGTAACTCTTCGTCTGCCACAACAACTACGACATGTCATCGCCACCGGAAAAACGCAACACTTCCAACACGGCCTTAACCCAATGAGTAGAGCGACAAAAAGTACGGAAAACGCAACCCCTCCCGCAATGGAGACGTATCCAATGGCTCTGGCAGTATTGGCGTCAATCGTGACATTTATGGTCAGGTTGGAATGCAGGTTAATGTTTTGTACAGCTTGACTCAAATGTCGGGCCGCTTCAGCGCCAAAGTCCTAAAAGCAAGGGAGAGAAAGTTGAAATGACGAAAGGGTTAAATTTTATTCGGCGTAGTAATCTACCCGGACCCCAACTAGGTCAGTCTCAAAATAAGCTACGTCGTAATCCCCGAAAATTTCGCACATCTTCCGGTAACAATTTGTCATTTTATCCCAAATAAAATAACACCATGCTCCAAGAGCAATCTATGTATTTAGTGACACCGACTCCACAATATTCTACAGCTCACTTTATTCATACTTTTTCTACCCCTCACCTTCATATCTGCCGTTTGTAGCGACAACTTCCAATTTTGCGACAACTCGTCGATCGCATCACGCAAATTGGCTGTTGCAGAATTCCCCATTCTTTCCAAATCTCCCGAGTCTATTTTCACACTGACTCTCTTCCCAAGGTCCGAGACAGCTTGGGATAATTGTTTTACTGCAAATTCCGTCGCCTCTTTGCCATCCTGCATTGCTTCGACTAATGCCTTGCTGAGATTTTCGGAGACTGTAACCGCGGCGTCTGAAAGTGATTTAGCCGCTCTTTCGCCGATACTAGAGAAACATTGTTGCGTCACCGGTATGAAGAGGAGTAACTGCAAAACGAGACACGTTTTGATCAGCATTTTCACTAAACTCTTTTAATAAATTATTTTAAGCGTATCGATTCGTAGTGGACCTGCTTTATCAGTAATAAATATCGTGAATCACCGGATTCAACTCTGCAATCTGGGAGAGATAAGATAAAAAGAGAAGTTAAATAAATATATATTTATTGGGATGATTCATTGATGGTTCATCGACTCATGACATTAAAAGGAGGAAGTGGATCCAAGATAAGTTCTCAAATTGCGAGTTTATGTATTTACAGGATGTAGTAACCATTCATCTGGTTCGCGAATTTAGACTTTGCTAAATAGAAATATTTGGTTTCCACGACTGTTTTTGCTAACCAAATGTATCTCTGGGAGGTTGAGATTCACCAAGGAAAGTTTTGCGCACTTGAACTAGATTGCAAATTGCAATACCCGGTTTAGTAAAATTTCCCAGAATTTTGCAAAATTTGACTTTTTTTCTTCCTTTGCTATTACAAATTAACGTTCCACTGCGAACCAATTGTCATACTTGAAGACGATATTATTGTGTATGATTGGATGAAATTAAGTGCTGCTACCAAGAACCATTATGAAATTCTGTATGTTTTTTCCCTCAATTTTGCAATGGATTGTGCAAGATTTGGCTCAGAATTTCAGAAATTCTTATTCCAGTCTCACCGTTCATGCTGGTAAAAATTTATTAGACATCAGTTACAATAACTTCTCTTAAATTTTGATTTTTTTCGCTATTTTAAACCTTTTACCAATGTTGGGTAAAACTTTGAAATTGTGAGGAATTGTTATTACTGATTTCTAGTAAATTTAAATCTTCACGAAAGAACATGATGATTATATTTAGCAATCCTGTGGCAACATCATTCGTAAAATTAGAATTATTTTGAATGATTTCCTGTTTGAGATCATCGATGATAGAAAAAATGTACAATGACGTTTCCACATAAACAAATTAAATAACTGATGATTCACACTGGTCTTTCCAAGTGGTGGTCTTGACAATATTATTTCCACGTATGCATCAAACTCAACATAGTGAATTTTAACACCAGGGTTATTATTCTTAATTCTGGCGTGATGCCATCAACATTTGCAGGAGTATTTATTACGGGAGTACCAAATATGTGGTTTTCCTGTTGACCAGAAACCACTTTTCCATTTCCCTTCCGTCCGGTCACACATAAATAATAGTGGAAATTGCTCAAATTTGACAACAATAACAAATTTACGGTTGAAGAGGAATCAAGTAGTCCTTCTCAATATATTACAAAATGAAGGTGCCCGAAATTATCTTAATTTGCCTCTTATCCACCCTGAAACTTGTCGTCACCCAAGAGAGGAAAGACCTCTCCTTCTTCAACTGGACAGACACCACCTCCCCCATCGATAATTCGAGCTGGAGGTGGGCCCCACACTGTGACATGGTGGGAAATGACATCATCCCCTTCCTCAGCCCGGCGTCCTACTGCGGTCGAGAATGCCACGCCGCCCCCACTTGCACCCATTTTGCCTGGGCGGATTTTAATTCGGGGACCTGTTGGATTAAAAAAGGTCCCCTCAATGAAAAACCGTTCTTTAAGTTGAACAACGGCTATTTCTGCGGGTACATTCCGGACCGGGATCCAAACCTGGGGGACGATTTTTTGACCTGGATGGATACCCCCGTGGGCACTACTGGCGCCAAGGTGAGGTACGCACCCCACTGCGACATGGTGGGAAATGACGTCGCTATTTTGAAAATTGCCGGGGTAAACGTGGACACTTGTGCGCGGGAATGTTTCGCCAATAAGGTGTGCACGCACTTCGTCATATCCACTACCGAGGGTGGTAAATGCTGGCTCAAAAGGGGCGATGTGCCCACTCCCACGAGGACGGAAAGGGTATGGGCCATTGCACACTGTGGGTTCCTCCTTTTGCAGAGCGGGTACGGAAGACATGAATTTGGCGCGGGATCCCGAACCCTGAACTGGGTTGAGGGCGGTGACCTCAAGAATGTCAGCTATCGATGGGCCGAGAATTGCGACCTGTCGGGGAACGATATTCGAAATTTTCTCACGAAGAGGGAAAATTGTGGGGGGGAGTGTGCTCAGCATAAGGAATGTACACATTTTGCATGGTCGACGTCTTTTGGGGGAACTTGTTGGATTAAGAGGGGGTCGATTCCGAACCACTCGATTAGGACGGATTCCGGGTATATTTGTGGTTACGTGACTTTCCGCAAGGGGGAGGAACAGGCGAGGGAAAAGGAGGGGGGTAAAATTAATTCGATTATGAACTTTTCCAAATAATGAGGTAGTGCCAAAAAATTTAGAAATTTAGATTTAGATCAAAATTGCAAAGCATATTAATTTAAAAAAACAGAATTCATACCTTCTTTTTGATAAAAAACAATTTGGTAATATAAAAATTTAATAAACTTAATTACTAATCAAGCTTTTCAATATTCTTCAAGGTGCAAGTAGGAACATTTGGATAATGTGGGTAGTTATCGGTCTACTCGCGCTGGCGGGAGTTTTGAGCTTGACAATTTTTGGTCTTCGTCAAAGATCAATTTCAGTGAGGATCAGATTTTATCATGTTTTCTACTTACAACTATTTAATTAGTTTTTCGCTCCCATTCTTTTAGAAACTACTCCGCGGGCTGGACAGGGAAGAAATTGACGAATTTTTCCTCGGCAGGCCAGAACTGCTTGCCAGAAACACCACCATGACCAATGAGACTGTCGCTTTCTTGCCGTACGACCGGGCATACGAGGTCGACATCGGTGATATAGAATGTAACTAAATTATTATAATATTTTGGAAAAAGTTGATACCATAATTGTAACCTCAATTTTATTTTAAAGATTATTTTCTATTTCACAGATAAAGCAGACCCGATCGGAAGCGGAAACTTTTCCGTCGTGTTTCTGGGTCTCATCAAATCCCGCCAGCAACCAGTCGCCGTGAAATGCCCGCTCACCACCACGGACGCGGTCGAATTCAAAGCTCTCCTTTTGGAAATAAAAATCATGCTCCATATCGGACAGCATGAAAACGTGGTGACCTTAATTGGCGCTTGCACTGAATCCATTCAACAACGTAAGAATTAAAAACGTTTTCAAACTACGGAAACTAACTTTGCTGAAAAACCCGCCAAATTTAAATTTAGTACTTCCCCATATTGTTATCGTAAGAAATAATAATACCCCGGAACTTGTATATATTTTCCAGGAAAAGTTTACATTCTTCTCGAATACGCAAAAAACGGATGCATGGAGTCTTACCTTAGAAAAAGACGGCCAGGTTGTGGAGAAGGATTAAAAAGTCGCTACACAAATATCGACCGGAAACCGGAGGCCTTAATTAAAGAGGGAGATTTGATTCGTTGGTCGTACGAAATTGCGAAGGGGATGGAGTTCTTGGCGTCAAAATCTGTAAGAAGTCTTTCATAATTTAAATGATCATAATTTCATTAATTTCATCTGTTCCTCAAGATTGTACACGCAGACTTGGCCACGAGGAATGTTCTTCTTGACGATAAGTGCACCGCCAAAGTGTCAGATTTTGGATTGAGCAGACAACTTTACGGAAACACGAACTACATCAAAAAGACAAAGGTAAGTATCTACACTTAAGTATCTAATAGCAAAATTGTCCATTCCTGGTGGTAACTTTGGTAACAATTTATTAGCAACTGGTATTATTAAATAAATTAGCGGTAACACCAGTTAACCAGAACATCTGGTGGTCACCGCCAAAGAATTTGACATAAAATGATTATTTTCCTAGGCCCAACTCCCCTGGCGCTGGCTAGCCCTGGAGTCCTTGACCAGGATGGAATTCTCCACCGAATCGGACGTCTGGAGCTACGGGGTCACCCTCTGGGAGATCTTCACATTTGCGGAGTCCCCCTACCCCAACCACACTTGGGGAAAGGAGTTCATCGACATGCTCCAGTCCAATGGTCGCCTGGATAAACCCAGAGATGCAAACACTGCAATGTTGGTTGCTAAATGAACAAATCTTAAAATTTAGCGGAGAAATAACTCCATGTCCACATATTTCAGATATGGTCTAATGAAAACTTGCTGGGAAGGTGACAAGTCGAACAGACCAAGTTTCTCGACACTTCGGGGCGCGATGGAAAAACTTTTGCATACTGGATAGTCTTAATTTGGAAAAATCTAATATAAGTAAAAATCTTAATTCTTCGGTAAATTATCGATAATGAAGAGTCACAAAAATGGTCAACATAATTTAATTTGGAATTTTTTAAAGTTTTAATTTAAGTATTTTAAATTAATAAGTATTCCACCTTACATATTTTGATTTATTTAAGTTGTGCCAGAATTAAAAAAGTGATTTCAAGTTAAGCTCACAAATTATTAGCTCGCCCTGCGAAGCATGGGAGCTATTGAACTGGTCGTGTCCGTCTGTCCGTCCGTCTGTGTGTTCCTATGTTTTCTCCGCCAATTGGCGCTTTAGAATCTCCCCCGTTTTAATGTTAGACAACTATTTAGCCTCAATGATTTAGAAAAATTGGAAAGAAATTGATTTAAAATAATTGAGAAAGTCAATGGACAAATCATCAATAGTGCAAAATAATTGAAAAAACTAGGCATCAAATTCTGACTCGGTACACAATGTTGCGTCAATTATGCATAACTGGACTGGACCAGCGATTTACATAATTTTAGTTCATTTGCACCAATGGTCAGCACAATAACACCATAACAACATAGCTAAACAATATTGACCCTCTTGCACCAATAGTGCACAAAAATTGAATTTTGTTATAAGAGAATATAGGGCGAGCTATTTCTAACGCATGCTACGGTTTATTTGTTAATCCCCTACTTAAACTCGACCATGGCCATGTTCAAAATAATTTTGGACGACCAAAACGAAACACTGTACATATAGATACTTTTTGGTAACTACCTGGTCAGATATTATAATTTGAGCGACACAATTATCCGATTGCTTCAATGTTTTTATTTAAAGTTTACATTCATGATTCGTATTTTAATTAATTTTTATCTCCTTTTAAATTATATTGATGAATGTGTCACCCATGGAAGAACATGGTGGTTGTACTTGTGCAATGAATTGGGGAAGAAATAGTAATCAAGATACAATAAGTACCATTCGTCAATTACCCTCAAATTGAGGGCCTCAATAAGTACTTTGTTTCTCCACGTTCCTGGTGGGATGGGAGATACAGATATTTCTACATATGTTTTTATGTATTTCAATTCTTTCTCTATGTACCACCATTTTTATAGGGATAACTTTATTTTCTGTCTACCAGTTCGACGAAAAATTAAGAATAAGGTTAGGTTCGTAATTGTAAAAATTAATTTAAAAAAAATGAAACCATTTAATTGCCTCTTTGACTTCGAGCACTTAGCAGAAGAATCGACACAGTTTGATTAATACAAAAATTCTCAATAACCAATGGAGTCCCCATATCGACAAAGTTTTGGCCAAATTGTATCCTTGTCGGCTTACATGCTGTTAATTCTTTCCAGTTTTGTTTTCTGGTCTTAGATTTTGTTGGAAAACAGCTTAATTCGCTTTTTAATAAGAGCAACAACTCAGCGGAGATTGAGTTCACCTTCGCCGCCAAAGTTTGAATTACCAAATTACTTATCAAAGAATTTATAAGGATTATTGGGAATACTAGGAAACCAGGTAGCGGGATTTTGGAATATAGTTTGACACACACGAACTGGGTGAATACTTGAATTAGTGGTCCGATTCCGATAATGGCAGGGGCTAATTTGTCATGGAGCGCATCGTTTAGTATTTTCTCAAGCAGTTGGATGCATCTATATGTACGTATGGAGGGCATTGGTAACGCCACCATGCAATTGGTTTCAGTAGATTGATTGATCATTTGGTGGGACAGTTCGAATTTCCCGGACTAATCTGTGACAAATTTTGGTTGACAATATTTAAATTAGAATATTAAAAAAATTGTCCGTTCTATATTTTTCTCTCGGAAGTTATATGGAAACTGACTTTTTGAAATGCGCCAAATAATCTATCAAGGTCACCATGGATACCGTGAAAGCATACGTCATGAAGAATATTCCATCATACGAGATATGCAGCCAAATCCAGTAGTCCGTTAGCAACATGGCAGCACGAACCAGGATTAGCGGAGGAGACCAAAGAGCGTTAACGCAATAATGGGACATGGATCCGATAAATGGAACTGCGCAAGGGTTTTGGAGCTGAATTGCGATTATGATAAGTGGAGTGAGGAAATTCGAAGTTTCGAAAAACTGGAGAACTACGACCATGTATTTATCCAAGGTGGTCGGCATCCGTGGAACCGAACCTATGTAGGAGGAACAGTATAAACAGGATGATCAAGATATTTTCGACTATTTTCTGTGTGACATGTATTTAAAAAAAATTAAAAATGTGATTAATAGCAGATACTGATTTTCTCTACCATAACTACTGATGAGAATCTTTTCAAATTTGAAGAAATAATTCAGCATTCGACACGGTTCGTTGAGCTGGTTGGCATGAGGCCAGTGCCATCTCGCTATAATGCAGGCGATCACTAATAGCAGGAAGACGACCCCTTGACATTTATCGGGAACTGAATCTTGACCGAAGGACATCTTCAAGGAGATGGCAAGAGCGTAAAAGATGATTTTATGGGAATAATTTGTTCACGGAAGGAATCCCATTGGGATAGAGTGCATCTGAGAAAGAGGCAAACTCGTAGGTGGTAAACTAAAAATGGTAGAAATGAAGTGGTCCACATTTTTAGCCCGAGTCAGGGCTTATGTAACCGTCATGTCCGTCCGTCCGTCCGTCCGTCCGTCCGTCCGTCCGTCCGTATATCGATAACTCTCTTTAAACTTATCCGATCGGGTTGAAATTTTCAGCATATGTATATTGGGCAAAGTTAGGAATCAAGTTCGAAGATGAGCCAAATCGGTACAGTGGTTGATCGGTGGGGGTCATATAGGTGGTGTGGATTTTTAAAACCAAAGGGGGGACCCTTTGGTTTTTGGCGTTTGGTGCAGAATATTCGAAATAGTCGTCGAAGGCTGAAATTCTGCATGATTGTGCAAATGAAGGTATAAACTCGGAAAACGAAGTTAAAGTTGAAAATTTTCCAAATGATGAGACCGGGTTAGGTGACCCACACCGATTTTGAAATATTGTCCCAGAAGCTAGAAATTTGGCACAAAGGCATCTGATGGCCTCTAATGCAAGAATATGAAGTGAAATTGAAAAAAATTCACCCAGAGGTAGCTTATGGGGGTAACCCCCACCGATTTTAAAATATTGTCCCAGAAGCTTCAAATTTGGTACATAAGTCTTTGATTATTTCTAATGAAGGAATATGAAGTGATTTTTGAAATATTTTCCGCCAGAGGTACACTACGTGGTGACCCCCTCCGATTTTAAAGTATGCCCTTGAAATTTGATCAACGTAGAAGAAGAAGCCTACGCGTTTGTTGAAAATGTAAACGAAAAACTTACCGGTGTTCAACCAGATTTTGTACTCAATTTCGATCAATCTGGATTTACGTATGAATACTCACCAAAGGGAACTTTATCCATCAAAGGAGAGAAGGATACTCTTGGATTAGTTGTTTCGCACAACGCAAATACGCATTCCTACACAATACGTAATGCCATTATTATCCATGAGTGGAAAATTTATAGGAAAATTGCTTATCTGCCTCCAAGAAGCTCAAGGATGCTTGGGTCCAATAATCAAGAAAAACCTCGATGTCCCATCAAACGTTTATTTAGTCGCCTCGAAGTCAGAAAAATTGGACAAAACCATTATGAAGAAATGGATTACAGATTGTGTGGCCACACATCAATGAAAATCAGGCCATCCTAATTTACGATTCTTGGGCAGGACAAGTTGACAATTTGACCTACGAATCACTTTCGGAGCAATGCACAAGGTTCCAAATTCCAGAAAAGGCCACATGTTAAAATACGCATGGTTTGCATGCAATTATAATACTGACCGAGTAAATTTCAAGAATGTGGCAGAAACTCTATTTTCGACAAGCTTTGATGACTGTGATGAGGATATGTGCGATAGGGAGACTTTTATAAAATGTGCTCATTGCTCCGTTAATCTGTGTTTTCATGATTTTTACATCGGTAATCACTTTCATTTGGATGATTCGGACTCGGATATGGATGAGCTTAATTCAAATCAATAGGCGTAAGTATTTAAAACTTGAAGATTATATTATTTTTTAAACGATGATTAAATTTATTTGGAAGAATGCAAACGGAGAGTGGTGAATGGGACAGTTGACCTCGCGGTGCTTGGTCCTCCTCCCCCACTCGCCTGCTCCTCCACTCCCACAGCCTGCTCCTCCACCCATCATTTCGCAATCTTTGGAGCCTGATAAAAAATTCGGGAATTGGTTTTTGAGAAAAATTTTCGCAGTTTACCCTTAAAACAATGTACGATGTATGCAAAAAGTTAAATGAGAACTCATTTTTCGCCTATCAGGTAAAAAGTACCCCTAGTTAGATTATTTGTGAAGTTGTCATATTTCTGAAGTTACATTCAATTTTATGATGGAGTGCAATCCGACAGCATTAAGAAGCCTGAATTTGCGATAGAAAGTATTCAAGTTGATCCCAGTATCGTTTATCCAAGTACCAAAGTTGGATAAACGATCCAAGTTTGATAAGTTCGACATATTAAGTTGACATTATCATAAAGTTGACTAGATACTGGGTCGAAAGCATACATAAACCTGACATTTAGATATTTAAATAACTGACAATTATTAGAATATACTAATTCAATTTGCGAACCACAAAATATTTGAAACAGCAAATTACAAAATTGACGGTATTACAAATTTGGGTTGTGTAGTAAAAGTAACATTTTTTAAAGAGAAGAAATAAATGACTACTTCTTTTTCGAAGAATACACACTTGCCGGGACAGCTATGTACATATTATGTTGGCAAGAACTGACCTTTACAAAATAACAATTATGGATCTGAATCAATAGACATGATAAACTATAAATCATTAATAAGATTCCTCCAATTCTCGTCGTCAATACAGTATATGATAAATTTAAAAAAATTAAATTTTGCCTGAAAGTAATTCATAAGTAAAAATTAATTATCCATTTTTAGCTTGAAGATTGTATACGAATAACTAATAAATTAATTTTGCATATATTAAACTCAATGTTTTTTTGATGAATGACTGGCTCCATGTTGTAGGCCTTCTTCTTAACTCTCAGGCTGCACCGTTTTTTTTGGGCTGAAAATACCTCCCGACACTTTTCAGACGTTAGTTTGGACCACTCCTTGTTTAGCGCGTGCAAAAGTGCGATTAAAATGTCACTCTCTGTATACGTATGTAAAGCTGATATATATATAAGTTGGCGTTAATTGGAGACATACACAACTTACTAAGAAACATGGTAAATATTTGCAAATTATATTCCTTCGCCTATTGGGGAAGTATTCACTACATACATAACTTATGATTAGTATGACTATTATTTGGTTAAGCAATGTTCATGAAAAATGGATATTTTATACCAGCCGTTAAATAAGACACGTAAGGTAAATTACAGAGTTTAGTTTTGTAATGAAGTATGCACACTGGTTTTCTCAATGGTTTGTGTAATGTTTGGTAATAATAACATGTAATAGGATTTTCAAGAAAATCTTTATATAAATATTAATGAGTATTTTCTTGGAAATCCTAATGAATGTTATTATTATATATTGTATACATATTTAATGTGTGTATGTTGTGATAAATATATAAGTTTACCAAGTATTAGTATATGTGCACACATTGTAGGTGGCCATACGTTCAGGAGGAATCTGCAATGTGATAGATTTCCAGATTTTGATAGAAGAGTTTGAACTCATAGAACTACATCTCATACTAAACTTTAAACTGTCCGCTTAGCTAGCCTTAACGTAGGGGCGATAAGACTGATACAAATGATTTGTCGACGTATTTAAAGATACGTGTAATGTCGTAAATGGACAGTTCCACAATTAACTGAGGCGAAAGCAGGACCTTAAGATATCACCAAATTCCATAGGCATCACAATCTGAGATTGTGAATTCCAAGTCATTCCTCGTGGGAGAGTAAATCCCCTTAATAATTATTCACATACATACCCGTGTCCCATCCAATGGCGACAAAAAAAATCTAGCCAACATCCGCGTGCTCTTGCCTTGCAAAAAGTATTTTAATTTGTTACAGAAATTCAAAATGCTACTGGTGTTCTACGTTGTTACAATCTGGTTCCTCACTACGTCCTACGTGCAATCTTTGGACGTTCATTTTTACACGAAACAATTCTCCTTCCACCGTACCGTCCTAGACTTCATACAATCCCACAACACTCCAAAATTCTATAGTAAAGTCGTAATCTCCTGGGAAATATATACCAACTCGACACAACCCGTGCCACCTCCACAGCGTCGATTCGCCTCTTATTTCTACGCAATCAATATTTTTCCAGGAAGCGACAATTCTTCGTCGTCAGCATATTACGACAAATTTTATCAGCCTTTCGAACCCACATTGTTGTCGCCGCATTCGTTCTTGTTTTTACACCTGGATTACCCTCGATACTGGCCGTTTAAGAACTTACGAGGTGAGATATATCTTGTCTTAAGGGGAAGAATATTTCAATTCGTGGTAAATGGTGAATCCAACATATTGCGAGGATTGCCCCCTCAACTGCAACTGGTAACTTTACCCCTGCGCCTGAATAAATATCTGGCCCCGTTCTACGAAAGAATTACCTACGTCAATAATCCTCGGAGTGTCTGCTGGGAAAGTTTGAACGCGTGGCGTCGCGACGTTCCCCCGTGTAAGGCGCCCGATTCGATTATCAACGTTCAAGCAAGCGTCTTTAATTTGACGATTGTTCAATCCAACGAGAATCATTGGGACTACGAAATAATATACGCAGTTCTCGCGTCTCCCGGTAAATACGTGGGACACCTGGTCGAATTCAAGGATATTCAGGATAGTATCTCGTATTGTAAGAAATATGTCCCAACTACCAACTGGACCGTGTGGTTTATTCCGTTTGGAAAATTCGTGTGGATTCTGGTGGCGACAGCAGTCTGGATAGTTGCCTTTACCTCGTGGATTGCATTTGGCGTACAGGATGAGAAGTTCTGGATCTGGAAAACTTTAGTGTTTCAAATTTTCTTTCAAGTTTCCATGTTCATGCGACAGCCGATCCGGAACTGCAACAGGACAAATGTAACGCTGGGATTTGCCAGTTTAATTCTTCTCTCGTTGTATGAAACTTTCTTAACGGGACTGCTTATTGCTCCTTCACCACCGGAGAAGTATCGACATATTGGAGACCTTGTGGAGGCAGGGATCAAATGTTTTATTGATAGATTAAATCCGAATTTTATCAAAATTGAGACAATGGGAGACAGTGAAAGAATTCGAGAATCATGGAGTACTTCATAAAATAAATTCGACATTTGTGGATGTTTCCCTGGTTAATACATCTACGCCGATTGAAGAAATTGCGATGCATTTCTCCGAATCGCCCACGGGAAATAGGGAGATTTCTCAGATTTATAAAATGGTAATGAGCAACTCAACGGAGCCCGAGTTTCAAAGGGGGGATCGGTTTTATTGCGATTTTATAGCTCTGGGGGATGTGAGGCACGAATCGTTCCAGTACGATGTGAGATTGATGGGGGAAATGGTTACGATTCATAGGAGGTTGATGGCCAGTGGATTAGTTAAGTATTGGGACGAGATGTTTAGGAATTGGAGATTGTTGAAAAACATGCATCGTGCGCTGGATAAGCAAAAATTGGACGTGCTAGAAACATCGGCTGACCAGCGGCTAAGAAAACTATTGATACAGATGGACACTCTGGAGATGATATTGTATATGTGGATAGTCTGCGTGGGTTTGGGTTTAGTTGGATTTTTGTTGTGTGAGGTTAAGCTTCAGGGAGTTTTTGAAGGTGTAGTTTTAAGAAGGACACGTGGAATGGTACGACAGGGAACTAAAACTGAGGTGGAAGTTGTATTGTGTACATGATATTTTTTGTCTACCTTGGGTACATAGTTATATATTTTGAAGTAAAAAATACAATTTGCTAATGTGATTGTTTTCTCATGTTAATAGGTAGATTGACTAGTATTCTACGAACAATGGCAAAACGAGTTGTGTGTTATTTAAAAAATTAACTACAGTCCCCGTTGAATCGTAAATCACAGAAATTACAAATCTCAATGAAATCACAACGTGTGCTTATCACAGCGCCTACACTGAGGTAACTGATCTGGTAATTGCATCCTGTATTACGAGAAGGGCTACAAAACCCCAGCCTCGAAAATGGGAAGTTGCTCCCACCAACCGAGGGAGTCCCACCATTGGGAATTTTGCGGAGGTGTATTTTAACATTTAGTTTAAAAATTATGTCCAGTATTAAGACATGCTTAAATTCTCCATGCAGTAAAGAAATACTATCTTCTGATAAAATAACGGTGTCAATTACACATTTTAGTAACAAAATTATGTTTGCAATAATTTCATCTATTATTTTTTAAATAGCTCAATTACAAATTAACGAATTTATAAATTATTTAGAAGTACATTATTCATCCATTTAAATATTCCCGGTATTGGTGGCATACAATTTTGAATGTTATCCACAACATCTCAAAGTTGACAGAGTTCTTCTCCATCCTAAAAAATAAAAATGCAACAACTATCAATTCTCAAGTTGGTTATGATCATATGATAATAAAAAATTACTAGTGGAAGCTTTGTACACCACGCTATACAAAGTTTCCACTCTACTAAATAAACTCACGGACAAGACGCGAAATTCCGGAAATCCAATCCAAATAATTAGCCACCTTCATGTAGATGTTGGGCACGTTGGTCATACATTGTGGTGCAACGCCTTGTGCCACCCCAACTGTGTACGACCTGCCATTGACCACAATGTCCAAACCACCACCGCTGTCCCCCTTACACGCCGATCTCCCCTGCCCACCAACGCAAAGATTATTTTCCGGCCAGTAACTGCCATACATCTTGCGGCACACGTCCTCCGCCAGGACGGGCATATCAGCCTTGATCAACTTTTCCGAAGCGGATCCGCCCCACTGAGTTAGTCCCCAGCCGGAAATGGTGCCCACGCTGCCCTCCAACTTTCTGGATCTTAATGAAAATGGAAGACATGCGGGGTGGATGGAGGGCGAGAATGTGAGCCGCGTGGCCAGGTAGACGAGAGCAATGTCGTGCTTCTGCTTCCCGTCGTACAAGGGATACTTGACGTATCCCTTGGTGGACATCCAGACGCTTGTGCCCCCCTCGGTTGTTGCCCCCTTGTCGATGGCACCCACTTTGATGAGAAGACGACTCGAGGTGCTAATCCCGCTGAGGCAGTGCGCCGCGGTGAGGACCATGCTGGGAGAGATGACGGTGCAGGTGCACATGAAGGAGGTTTTGTCATTGATGTGTAAGCTGCAACGCCACGGAAATTCGGAGGGGACGGCGGGGGATCCGTTAATGACGCGGGTAGTTTTCGGGATCCGCGACTAAATAAGACAAGGATTGGGACGAGTTAGTTATGACAGGTTTTAGTTACAACAGAGATTTTTATTTGCTAGAAATTCCCAGAGCTTGGGGGGCACGGATTTAAGGTTATCGCATGTTGTACAATTTGGTTTTCCAAGGGAACTTACCACTCCACAGGAACATGATGACTGTCGGGTTTCTGGAAGAGTCTGGTTTCCGGAGAAGTTTTTAGCGGAAATATATCCTATGATGACTAGGAAGAATGTCAAATAAGTGAACTAGCCATCATGATTTAGGAGTACTTGTGTAATGAGGGAGATTGTAGGGAATTCTGAGATGTGGATATGAATTAAGTGTCAATTTATACACGTGTAGTGAAGACATATGGTTTATTTCGTGACAATTGACTATTGGGTGATGTCGAGAATGTGTTATGTAAAATTCTTATTAGATCAAAGACAAATCATTAAATATGAATAATTCAGTGAGTAGAATCTATAATTTCTGTAAATCCTGGTTCTCTGTGTACCTCACCTGTGATGTAGATGTCCCGATATTTGCTAATCTAATTAAATCTGCTCAATATACATAAATACCTCTGGCATGGCATACGCGAACTATAATAGATTGCTGACATCACAGGATAGAAGGCCATTATTTGCATATCTTTATTGCAGCTCATTATTCATACATTCTGAGGTATTGATACAATGATAAATCATATATTTAAAATTAGACGTCATGGAGTATTTAATTATACTTTAAAATTGTGTTAAAATCTGTTAGTAGTTCATCAGGAATAAATTTTGTTTGGTGACGGCGTGTCACCGATGAAACTAAACCCCGTAATCTTGGCCAATTATTGCTTCCAAAGAGGTGATCTGCGACACAAATAGTATTTAATTTTGTAAATCCTTCATATATGCGTAACTTGTTGCAGGAAGTAATCGATGCATTCATTAAGAAAACTGAATCAATTAAATTATTTAATGCAGGCATCACAACGAATGAAATGTGAATGCCCAAATTGTTTTTGAAGATAAATATGTGTATGTATGCTTCACTTTGTTTGTATATTAATTTCTTGTATGAATAACTTTTGCAATTTTGTAGAATAGCCACTAAATCAGACTTATTTGCCCGTGGCACGTGAATGTAATTTTATTGGTCTCCTTCCTGTTATTGAGCCCATTAGAATCGGTAAAGTTTGCTAATTAGATATGTTGGGAAAGTTGGTTTTACTTTGTGAAACGCTGTTAGAAAATAAAAAGTGTGGGCGTCAGAATCCCATTGGATTAAGCGTCACTTGGATTTAGTTCTTACTGTTCTCTCCTACGCAATTTGCTTTTCCAAGGTTTAGAAATATTTCGGTAAATCTCAATCCCTTATTTATTTCCGAAAAATAATGAGTTAAAAAATTATAAATCTTATTTACAGAAAAATGGAATGGAAACTACAATCATTTATTTATCTCCTACTCTTACAAATCCCTATTGAAATCGAAGCAGTAACAGACTTATTTAGCATCATGAACCACAAGATCTTCGATGGTTGCATTATCAACATTTTATCAGATTTCAGAAAGAATTACTTTCCGAGCGAGTTCGAAACTGGAACTTCCTTCGTACTCGACAAAACTAATGGGACATGGCACAGATTCCGCGTTACGAGGGACACTTCTCCGATCAATTTAATCTGGATGGCGGCCCGGCGCACGGACCCCTGCATTATTTTCGTCGTGGATCTCTACGCCCTTCCCTGGTATCCCGACCTGTTCTACGTCCTCTACGGGCTCGCCGACCAAGATTTGGACCCCCACTTCATCCTTATCCATTCCCGTTGGCCCGGATATCATCTGCTCCCCTCGATGCGAGTATATTCGTACTACGTGACGTCCACGATCCTCCTCTGGGATGAACCTAGGAAAGCCCTCTTCCGCATGTGCACCTCGGTAGGGGCACCAATTCCTATCCTGCCGGCCACATTGGCGGAAAGTAGTCGCGGTACTATCAGAATACTCCCCCCGTTGGAGAAATCGTTGGCCCACATTTTACACCTTAGCGTTAAACCAGAATCTCTCAGTGAAGAAATACTTTCCTGTTCAGCCCGTTATTCCGGATTAGCGACGTTTTTCCCGACATGCACGGCATACGTGTTGAGCACCCACTTCAACTATTCGTTAGTTAGGCAGTATAAGGGGCAGCAGTTTTTGGCGTATGTCATGTTTGGTGAACCGGCGCGGGGAATGTTTTACAAGAATAAATTTCCGGCCAGGAGTATCATGAAGGTGCAATTGCTAAATCACGCGATATATACGTTGGAGTTTAGACTGGTAATCTACACCAAGAAGAGGGGGGGGTCTTGATTTCGGGAGGCTGGTGGAACCACTAGATACCTGGATTTGGCTAGGCGTTGTGGTCGGGTTCGTGGTCACATTCGTCTTTATTTTAGGACTGTCCGATGAGCGGGGGAATATTGGGGGCACTCTGTTCAAAGTTTTCTCCGTGATGCTGGACCAGTCTCAGCATTCAGCACCAGAAAGGGGGAAGATTCTACCGGATAAGGTCACGGTTTTGATTACCACGTGGACTTTGACGTTAGCGATAATCTCGACCTGCTATAAGGGCGACCTGCTTTCCTACTTTGTACTGGAAACTCCGCCTGCGACGCCGGACTCGATTGAAGCGTTGGACGGGTCGGGTGTCATGATTACGACGAATACCCGCTATAGGGTGTACCAGGAGGTATTCTCCACCTTGAAGAATGAGGTGCTGTCAGATCTGGGCGATGGTGAGGGTCCGCTGGCCCAGTTTTTTAACCGACTCAATGCGAGCACGATCCTACAAATGGGAGACGTGGAGGCGGTCGTGGGAAATTTTAGTCGGGGGAAACCTGTCGCTACTGATCGCGGGTTGATTCAAATGCCCGACACTTTTGCGGCCCTAAACGCCAAGGGGGTTTCGGACAGCATGAAGTTCCTGGTGAGCCGGAATACTGATTATGTGATCCAGGAGAAGAAAATGGAGGGGAGGATAAACTCCTTGGTGAGTCAGGTTCCCTGGTGTATGGATAGTAATGAGTACACGGGGATGATCAGGAAGGGGTTGGCGAGGTTGTGGGAGAGCGGGATTTATGAAAATTGGAGGAGAAATAGTTACTTCCATAAGACTATTGTAGCATTGAAAGCTAGCGATCAACTAGGTAATGTTAGCGGTTTGAATTATTATGGAATTATAGTGATGAGTGGGAAGGATTTCTTGGCGGAGAATCAGTTTAGCGGGGACTTTGCAGCGGTGGAGGTGGATAATTTGAAAATATGCTTCATTATCTTTGGCGTGGGGGTACTTGTGGGTTTAATTTGTTATGTGGGTGAAATCGGGAAACTTATTGTGAGGAAGGAAAAGAAGACGAGAGTACTGGGGGGCTTAGGATATTTAAAGAATGTCTTTGGAATAGCCAGCCGGCGGGCAAGGTCTCTAATTATTGAAGTAATTAGTATAATAATTCAAAACATGTACCAAATGTGGAGCAGATTGTATGGAACAATTAGTCAAAATTTTGGTTAGGTATCTGTTAATAGTGGGAATGAGAGGCAAATAATTAACTTATATATTAGCCCAGTTCTGTCTGTCTGGCGCAAACGGATCCCTTCAATGTATTACTCACAGCATGGAAGAGATAAGATGTGAGCCAGTTGCAACTACCATGTTTCTTGGTTTGGTCGTGGTTTGGTCGCGACCAAACCAAGTCAACTATATGGTGGACCATGCTGATGGTAGTATTGGTTTGGTTTTGGTTTGGTCGTGGTTTGGTCGCAACCAAACCAAGTCAACTACTTGACTATAGTATAATAAGGAACTTTTTAAAAAAATAAATAAATAAAAACCAAAATATGGGGGTAATGCGAAATTATAAATTTGGTCAACGGTAATAATAGATAAGTTTTGATGCAGACGTGACGGGAGTAGTCCTGGTGCCACGGGCACCAGAAAATAGCCTAGTTATAGATAGTTGTCCACAAAAATTATAGAAACGATCATTAAAAATATTATATTTATTTAGGACAACTTCTATATTTTTTACGTATTTCTATACCCGGAAACGGGTTATGTGGAAGCCATATTTCATGCACAAATTTAAATATAATTAAAATATTATGTAATTTATATTCTGTAAATTAGAATGTAAAAACCAAGCTTGAAAAATGTAGGACGATAATATGAACAAAGATTGAATTAGTTGTGATTAGGAGGCATGTATTTTAAATGGATTGCATATTGTATTTAATTTGCATAATTTTTAGAATTTTAAGAGCCATAATTTGTTTATTTAAATAATATATATGATGATTCTAAATAGTTAAAATTTGTTAGTGAACTCCTTATTGGTCGCCAGTACTTAAAACTACTTAAAAATTGACAAAAACTTAATTTGTTCCTGTAAAATATAAATGTTATAAATTTACGAACCACTACACAGTTTACATGAAATAAATTTTGACAGCTGCCACGCCGCACTCGATTTAATCTCTTTGCTACCCTTGGGCAGCATGTGATGAATTGGCCGAATTTAATTAAGTATTAAAATATAATTTTACCTTTCAAAGTTACAAGGTATCAAAGCATCGTGTACATAATATCTGGGGTTGGGATATGGACAGCGTGATTATTTGCTTATCTACGCCCGAGGGAAATTTATGATGTTGATATAATATTGCTTTTAGCGAAATTTTTCATGTTATATGAACGTTTGGTGAATGTTATCCGGAGAATATTAATACAACGTTAGCTGGAAACGTTACCGCGATGTTAGTATAACGTTAAAAATATTAAAATAACGTTAATGTGAGGTAAAAAAAGTGGCCAAATGTAACATTAGTAGATATTAGCACAATGTTCATAACATTGTAGCAATGTTAAGACAACATTCGTTTCCAGTCGGGTGCTGGCATGCCTAACCGATTAGGATAATTAAGCTGAAACTATTTTAGTTTAAGAAATGGAAAAAGAAAAGTCTGCAACTGATGGCAGTGGCTAAGCACACTTTTCTATGCAAAGAGGACATATTTATTTATTTACGCAGTATCATAAAAACTATAAAGTTTTTAATTAATGTGCTTAAAATCTATGTGAAGAGTGGTACATGTTGATATTGTATTCCTTATCGAAAGTAGTGAGTTTACTTTATTGAAGCTGTTTGGTTTTCAGTGTGCATACGTAATCCGTAATCCATATTTTAATATTTTAATCCAGGTTGGGACTGGGTATTAAAATTAATGCATGCGATTCTTGTAACAAGTTATGTCTTTCCAAAGTACACTTACAATAACATTGATTATGATTTTGTATGCAATAGTTTGATATGAACTAGAATAGCGCTACCGAATATCTTCATCTGTGGATATATACATCGCAGATTTTACGGTAGAAAATTTGAAATTTCCTGACCGTCTGTTAATTTTTCTTAAACCATAATTCTGTGCAAAATGGACGGCAATTGTGATATTGTCGACATACTTATTTACTACTTAATTTTTAAAGTTTTCAGTTAAGAAAAGTGTATATCGTCGCCCTAATTCTAAAATGACTTATGTGATGTCGATGCTTAATTCTGAAATGACTTATGTGATGTCGATGCTTAATTTTAAAATGACTTATGTGACGTCGATGCTTAATTTTAAAATGACTTATGTGCACAATAAAAACCAGTAAAATGACTTATGTGCAATTTCAAAATTAAAAAGCCAAATATTTATGCAAAACAACATTTTTTACAGCAATAAGATAATTTAAACGCGTTTTTAGTAATTACAGTTTAAAATAAAATAATACCTAATGGGGGTTACTGGGGGTGTGGCTCTCAGCGACTTTTGGAATAGATAAGGAAAGTACAATATGCGACACAAATTATTTCCCTGAAGAGAAAGGCCATCCCGACGGTAACCTTAAACAATGAAAAACCACACCCCCAAGTGGGTGTGGTCTTTAGCGCTTTCCTCATTATTCAAGTAAACCATGTAATGCGATTCCAATAATTTTTCGGGGAGAAAAACCATTACAATGGTCATCCCCCACTTCTGAAAACCACACCCCCTGTGGGTGTGGCTTTTCAGCGATTTCGTCATTATGAAAGTAAACCATGTCATGCGATAATAATTGTTTTTCAGGAAAAAAAGGCGTCACGATGGTAATCTTCAATGTTACAAAACCACACCCATACCTAAGTAGAGAAATGTGACTAGACGAAATAAAATAAAATCTGAAAATCTGTTTCTCCAGTAATTAAGGTTTGTTAAATTTGTAATTGAAATAAAGCAAATTTTAAGAATATATTTTAATCCGTCCAGTCACACTTTCTCAGCTAAGGTTGTGACGTATAGTTTTATGCCCGACTACAACTGCCACATTTTGAGTTATCCTAACTCGCACCCGGTTCGTTTCTACTGCTAAATGACTGACTTATCAACTAAAATGAGGTGACCGCACACACAATGATAACTGACTTGAACAACTATTTATTAATCATTGAGCAGACCAACTTTCACAAAAAGATAACCCCAAGAGATGATGATGAGACGAACTACTTTTGCGTGTGACCGAGTTACTCCCTTGAAAAACTATAAACGAAAATACGGCCCCCCGTATAAATCTTTAACCCTATCTAGTTGTTGAGCCGGATGTCCACACCCAACAACTTTAGAGAGACCGGATGACCACGTCTCTTCCCTGCTACGACTTACGACTTGTTTTCCTCTCGCCTTCGGATCTGCTTCTCGTCCCCGCGTCACCTCCAAATTCCAGGAACCGTAGAAACAGGGAGAGAGAAAGAACTACTAGAACTACTGGGACTCGCGGTGGGTCAATGTGAGATTGGGTACTTAACTTGGACCCATCGCCACAAAACCAACCCCACTTTCACACTCTTAGTTAACCAACTAAAACCCCATCCCACTAACCCTAACTTATTTAACTAATCCCTAATATATTTAACTAACTATTAGTGCATCTAAAACTCGGTTGCATCATCACACACACTTCATCTCATCATCATCTCATAAATATATACATACTACAAGGTGTCCAGACTTTTTTGGCTGCTTTATTTTAAAACTTTTCAATCCTAATCATACAAGATTTGAGGCAAAAATTAAATAATTTTTTAGCCACAATAAAATTGTTTTAATAATTCTTACGTGTCACAAATGGAACGCCACAATTTAGTTGAGTAATATCGGAAATGGAGTTCTGTGTGTAGTTATCCTGCTCAATCAGGGTGTTGGCAATGTTTTCAAATTTTACGGATCGAATATTATTCCCATTGCCGGAAATTTTGATTCCGATGTTGGCCTTGGTAACGTAGATATTGGCCAAAGTGCATTTATCCCCGCGGAGATTGATACCACGGGAAGTAATGTTTTCCACCGTGTAACCAGAGCCCGAGATTAGAAGGGAAAAGTCGAGCGAGGGAGTTGGCGAGATACACAAGTTTGAAATGGAACAGCCATTTCCAAAAATTCTAAAACTGTTTGGCGACTTTATGACGCACTCCTTTCCCCACAATGCGTACGTTATCTGTCATCAATGTGAACTGACCTTGGTGCACGATACTTTCTAAGAGAATGGTCGACCCGGGAGACACAAATGGCAAGCATAGCATTAAATCTTCCCCGTTTCGGCAGTGTAGTTCTTTCTCCGTAATTTGTACGGATTCCCAGTTGCTGATAATTTTCTCGACATCACCCATATTCTGGCATCTCTCTTCGACCTTTTTTTTAGTTAAACTTGTAACAAGTTGCTTAGCAATTTTTCCAATAAGGGGGTGATCATCTTTGACTAATTCGGCACTTTCATCATAAACTAATCGATTGAATAGACTTTGGACTTGAGTATTTTTAAGAACCACCACCCAAATTATTAATCCAAGAGAAAACAAGTCCGATTGATAGGAGTATTTACCTCTCCTGTCGAGAACTTCGGGCGCTGTGTATTGCCTAGTTCCAATGCCACTCTTGGTAAAGGTATGGTCTTCATGACCTGGGACCATGCGACATTGGCCAAAATCTCCAATTTTGATTGGGAGTTGATATTCTTTTGTGAACATGACGTTGCCCGGCTTTAAGTCACGGTGTATTATTTTGTTGCTGTGTAGAAACCTCAGCCCGGAAACGAGACCGTGGATAATTTGAATTTGTTTAAGCTGGACGAAAACTGAAGTGATATTGGAATCGGGATCATCCAGCCAGCGCGACAAATTTTTGCCACAGGGCGCCATTTGAATGCAAGTCCAACCCAAATTTTGTATCTTTGTTGGGAGGTCCTTCCACGTAGCTTCGGTCGTGTGGGAGCAATGGCTAAAAATATCGTTTAATTGGGATGGATTCAGAGTTTTCTGGAACACCGAATTCTTGACGGTGACCAGATTTTCATGTCTCCGAAGTGGTTTGGTTAAGGTGGCCTCGCGCTGGTGTTGAACGTTTTTCTTTGCGTCGTCCGTCGGGTAGATGAATTTTATAGCGGAGGAAGTTTTGTCATTGTGCTCTGCCAATAAGACAAATCCGAAGGAGCCGTGACCCAGGTAGGATTTGTAGGTAGAAACGGTTTCTAAAAAGTCTGGGACGGTCGTCATGGTGGTAAAGTTATATTGTTCGTTATTTTTAAGAAGGAGAATATTTTTGGAAATGGTGGTGGGTACAGGATGAATTTGGTTTTGAGTAGGATGGTTATGCAATAGTGAGAATGAGGAATATCTTATCAGGTGTTATCAAACTTGATAAAATAATTGGCTCACGGGTGAGCTGGAGTTGCAGGTTTTGCGTGACATACATACCTGAGGTGAATAAATTAAACAGTACACAGATATGTACCCGTATTAGAGTAAACTTCACAATGGTGTAAGTCTGTGTATAGATGTAGATATGTGATCTGAAATATAACATTGATAGGTATTACTGCAAAGAATTATTTAGGCCAGTGGTGATAATGTTAATGCGGTGATGAATGAATATTAGAGAGCGTATCAGTAACTTGAGTAAATAGGAAAACCTAATATTCGTCATTTTATTTCCCGGAATAAATTATTTTTATTATTTTGATTTACTTAATTAATGAATTTATTATGGATGACGTTTCTAGTTAATAAGTTTCGATCTCCAAATGGCATCCTCCGTTTCCTCGTTTGCTCATCATTGTTCCTCTACAGATACATAGAACGTATTGGGGAAATTACTAAAATAATTTGTTTTGTGGGGACACACCAGTTCGTATTTTGGCAGCCTGGTCCACGCCTTCTTAGCACGGTCATGGCTCAACGTGTAGATCATCTTATTTGGTAGCTTGGCCGTATAAGAGCAACATGATGAGGAAAATCTTCCCATTAATCGTGACTAGGGATGCTGGTGAGATCAGACCATCTCATGATTAGATTGGAAATAGGTGAGATGAGATGGCACATGAGTGAGACGGAATGAATGTGAGATGAGATGAGTTGTCGTGATATAAGATATTTTTAGATAAAACCATCTTAGTAACTATCTAAAGTACACCAGATAAATAATTATTAAGCTAGAATTGTTCTTAGTATAAAATGTGCGGCAGAGATTACACTACATTATGCTAGTACATTTTTAATGTAAAATAAGCATGGTAAATGGCTATTTGAGTAAATTCATATTAAAGTAAGATGAGATGAGACGAGATGAGAGGCAATGAGATGAGACGACATCCTGATGAGCTAATTTTAGGCCCATCTCATCTTACCAGGTGATGAGATGAGATGAAACGGGGCCCATCTCGTCTCATTGGCAACCCTGATCGTGACATTGCTTGTTCCATCGTGCTCAGGTTCGTTCTCGTATTCGTAAACGCCATACAGACATTCGGGAGTAGGTGAGTCATCACATATTTTCGGCTAGATTTTCGAGACTAATTTTATCTTGGACACCTTTTGGATAACATTCCCCGACTTCCGTCGTCTTAAGTTTTCAGGATTTATATGTTATAATGGGGTGCACGCTAATTCAGTTTCCCTTGAGTCAGTTCTCTAGATTTTCTTAATTCCATTAATAATTTCATTTCTCAGCAAGAATCCTCCCTATCATTATCTTAGCTCGCATTTCATTTTTCAATCTGGAAGAAATCTAAATTTATTTTATTGCATTATGTAGCGTAACTAATGGTAAATTTTAGTTTTTCAAAAATGAATTTTTTTCAAAGAGACCATTTGTTGTAACATGATTGGAGAATAAACTGTCAAATATTATTAATTATTGGGAGCGTTGCTAAGATAAAGTCAAGCAATCATGGTCTAGATTATTTATATATTGCTAAAAAATGTGGTGGTATATTTTATTTCTATTAATTTGTTTTGCTTAAATCTACAATAATCGGCTATTTCTTAGAAATTGGAACACGCCAATAAAGCGGCATCCGCAATACTAAATTCTGATTCTCCTGGAGCTGTACACTGGACGAAGCAGACGAATCCTTTTGCAGACACCCCTCCATTAGACCGAAATCGAATAGAAAATACGTCAGTGGACGCCCTATAAGGTCCATTGGGTTTAGTGATCCCACAGAACCTATAACATCCTTATTCATGTAGAATTTTGTTCATAAAAAGTGGATATCAATTTTTATTAGGAGCACTTACTTTTGATGATAATATGGCAGGTCGAGGATTTTTAAGTAGTCTTCAATGCAGTTAAATGAAGGTGAAACGTCAAAGCACGGACATTCTGCAGATATAGTGCACTCTCTTCCCTAATAATTTATACGTATAAAATACTTATATTAAATTGCACAAATAATTATACATAGCATATTCAATTGGTAATTTCATACAATGAATCTCCAAGTGCAGGCGTCATTGGGAAGATATGGAATGTTTAAATCAACGTTGCTGCTCTGTATCTTGACCACATCCCTTGGGTTCATTTTGTCCCGCAACCAACTCCAGTCTCTTTTAATGAAAATTTGGTACTTTGATTATGCAATGTTCATTGAAATCTCTAAATTAAACGAATAGCCCATACGTATTGAGGAACTTGTGCCAGGCTTAAGGGTTTTAGGGAACGTTGTGACTGGTGTGGTAGGAATTGTAGGTGCAAGCGTAGGGACAGTTGCAATAAGAACAATAAGCCTGTTCAATTTACTGATTTTCTCTATAGGTTTGGACCCATCCAAACCACTTCCAAAGGTTTTAAAGGAAGTGGAGCACATAATCTGGGAATACTTTATTAAATGCATTAAATAAATTAGTTACAATACACGTATGTGTGAATACTAATGATAAATATTTGCAAAAAACTTACAAAAAACAGTGTAAATTTTAATAGGGTCAACATACTAGTGTACTTGGATAAATGCATTTTAAGAAATTTTCACTGGGATGAATTTTTCGTGATATATCAATAAACGTACATTAAACTCTGGAGTTGCTGGTTAATCACGGATCGTAATATGCAATATTCTGAAACACACGTAAGGTTAATTGAATAGCTTGGAATAATTTCTTAATTAATAGTTCATGAACTGTTTCAGCTTACAGAGACATTTATAACAATGCCACATATATATGATAATTTGGAATTAATTATCAGGCCCCGTGAGATGGGTGGGCAAGCTTGGCACTTGCCCAGGGCGCTGGGGCGCCAGGGGGCGCCAAGGGGCGCCGCCACAAAAATTTAATAAATTGTGAAATTTTTGTAAGAAATATACAGAGAGTGAGTTAGATGGCCGATTACAACCAAAGTAAATAATTATGTATACTTATTTCGCTTAGTCTGATAGCTCTTTGGCCGACTCTGATTTCATAGGCAACAAGGAGTCTCACCGTGCATCATGGATCAGTTTCCCCAGCCGCGAGCAAATTTGATTTATATCCATTCGATCACATGTTTTTTCTGCCACCGCATCACATTAATTAATATTTTAAAGTTAAATAATAATTCCGTCGCCGTGATGTCGCTTCCTGGGAAGAAATTATCCGGAGCAGAGAATAAGAAAAGAAAAATTGAGGAAGCTGCCAAATTTAGTTAAAATTGACAAGTTTTTCGCGATTACTCAGGTGCCGTCCGTTCCAGCAGAATTTCCATCCTCAGTATTACCAGCAGATCCTGTTCAATGTTCCAGTTTCCAAAACCGTAAGAATTATTATTTTTAATTATTATCTCACGGATTTTTTAATCCAATTGCATCTTTTTGATTCAACTCATGATTGAATAAATTTTTATATAAATTCCAGTTCTGAAATCGGCGTGCCCTTCACGAAGCCAAGAGGATAAGCAATAAGATCTGGAGGAACTACAGACCATAAATTTAGGTAAATTATTTCAATTCAGATACTCGTTAATCAAAAAAATATCCAGGAAATTCAGCGACAAGTTTTATTTTGTAGACCCAGGACTCTGGCCACAAAACATTAATCAGAAGCAGAGAGATTGCTTGGTTGTACACGGTCCGCGGAGGCCAACACCAAATTACCAATTTCCAGTAACTGACGGACGACGGTTTACGGAACAACACTTCAAGAAGAAATTAGCGAATGGAGAATGGATGGAAAGACGTTGGCTTCAATATTCTGAAGACTTGGACGCCGTATTTTGTGTTGTCTGTAAATTGTTTGACAGTTCAGCAAAAAAGATTTCCTTGAAGGACGGGGGCTGCCAAGACTGGAAGCACATTTCGGAGCTGCATGAGACATCTCATCATCACAGAAAATCATGCCTCAGTTGGTGCGACACCAAGCAAAATCTAAAGTCGGCGGCCGGCGTGGATTCGCAAATACAATCCCAAATACACGAAGAAACAACTCGATGGAGGGAGATTCTTCGAAGAATAATTGAAGTGGTCAAGTTCTTGGCGTCAAGAAATTTGGCATTTCAAGGATCATCGGAAAAATTGCGAACACCAGGAAATGGAAATTTTCTAGGATCGTTGGAACTCGTTGCAAAATTTGATCCAGTTCTACAGGGTCATTTGGATTATGCAAGTGGACCTCAACGAAATGCCCATTATTTAAGCCATCAGTCTCAATATTTTTCCATTATTCTTGATTGTACCCTGATATTTCACACCAAGAACAAATGTCAGTGATATTACGCTACGTCTCAATTTTGAGAGATGAAACAAAAATTTGTGAAAGCTTCCTTGGATTTCTTCCTGTAGAAGACAAAACGGGGCTGGGGCTAACGGAAAAAATTGTACTGTACTTGCAAGACCATTCTCTGAAGTTAGAAGACGTCCGCGGTCAATCTTACGACAACGGCAGTAATATGAAAGGCAAAATTCAAGGAGTTCAGAGAAGAATATTGGACAAAAATCAGTGGCGCAATTAGCACCTAAGCAAGGTAGGCAGAAACTAAGGGCCCCGCGTCAGCGGGGGCCCCGGACAGTTGGTATTTTATAAAAACATTAGATATTTTAAAATATTAAATTTGTTGGTTTGACCAAACAAAATAAAATCATGAAACATGAAACACATAAATATTGTATGGGGCACAAAGAACTTAACCTGAAGCGGGAATCATGTTTGAGTTATTATCAGATTGCTTCCCTTTTTGTTATTGTCCTTGGCCCAAACTTGTGAAAAATATTTCTTCGAATTACCATAAAATGAAAAGGTCATATCAGAGCGGGTTTAAAAAACGAAAGTCGACCGGCGACAAGAAAAAGAAAGACGCTGAGTTTGTTAGAGATATTGACATGCGGAATCATTTTGACATCAAATCTTCGGAACCAGTTTCAACAAATTCTATTGCTGATGGTAAATATATATATTTCAATAATATAAATATAGTTCAATTTTACTGTATGTGTCGGGGATAATAAACAAATCAATTCATATTCTTAGTTCTAAGAATTTGTGGACTCAATATTTCTTAGCGTTTTTTGACTGCATAAATCTGCATAAACCTTAACTAGTTTTTTAAATTGCAGAGATTGTACAGGATGGGAAATCCGATAAGAACGATGATCCCATACTAGAGAGTGAAGTACTTTCTGAATATCCGGCCATCTCTGAGAATTTATCATTACAAGAAGATAATGGTATTTTTACAGCGCTTATTGGGATAACAAAAATTTATTGCAAAAATTTCGACTGGTTTCATATATTGCAGAAACTGAACCGTATGAACAATACGGTGATAATGGTGACCACAAAATACAAGAAAATACGATACCAACTAAGCAACTAGCGGATTGGGACACTTTATCGTCAATGGAAATTAATGGTACTAATAAAATTTGTTGGCTATCTTTAAAATTTGTAGATAGGCTATTTAAGTACTTTTAATTTATTCTAATTTAGGCCAGCTCGACTTAACACTTAAGAATCCTACAGATAAAGCAATTTTTAAAATTTTTAATATTTCAATTGACTTAAAGAGAGCTATTTCTTTATATGGAGGATGTCAACCATGTGGTCCATTCAAGAAAGGGGATGATGGGAGGCACTTTTCTGAAAATTATTACAGCAAAATTATCAATGGAGAGAAAATTAAACTAGATTGGCTAGCATTCTCAATTGTGGACGATGTAGTTTATTGTGAAACTTGTTGGCTATTTGCCGACAGATCAAACCCTTTGTTCAAAATGAATTGGATTGACGGAATAATTCCAGACAAGAATGTTTGTGGAAAAATTCAGTCCCATGAAATTTGTCAAAGCCACATTCTAGCAATAATTTCAAAAAATCAATTTCTTATAAATCCGTTAGAATTGAGTTTACTCAAACAAATGCAAGTTGAAGAGAATTTCTGGTGCTCTGCTTTACGCCGGATTTTTAATATCATCTTGACAATTTCTTCCGCAAATATGGCGCTTCGTGGACATCGAGACTCCATTGTCGATTCTAAACATACTGGAAATTTCTTCAGAATTGTTAAGTTACTCAGCAAGTTTGACGAAACATTAAAAACTTTAATAAATGATGACTCCAAGAAGATAAAATACTTAAGTTCTTCTATTCAAAACGAAATTATCAACTTACTAGGGAACTTTTTAAGACAGTCATTAATATCAGAAACTATTCGGAACAAATTTTATTCAATTATTCTTGACTCAACACAGGATGTATCAAGAGTAGAACAAGTGAGTCTAACTTTAAGGTACGTGGACATAAACTACGAACAAAAAACTAAAAATAAGGGAAACATTTCTGGGATTTTACGAAATAAATGGACAAGACGCCAAATCCTACGAGAAATTTCTCCGTAGTATTACCGCAGACATAGGGCTGCCTTTTCAAAATTGTCGGGGTCAAGGTTACGATGGTGCAAGCGTAATGAGAGGTGCTTATTCCGGTCTACAGCAACGAATTTTAGTAACCAGTCCTTTAGCTCATTAGGTTCATTGTGCGGCACAAAATAACAATTTAACCTTATGTGAGGCTGCAAATTCATCGCCGAAAATCAAAGTGTTTTTCGAGACCGTGCAGAAAGTATATACTTACTTCGCCTTAAGCGGACCGCGCTGGAGGTCGCTTGGTATGATCAAAGATGGATGCAAACAATCGATTAAAAAACTGTCCAACGCGGTGGGAAGCAAGGCACAGGTCAATATTTTCACTTCTAACAAAATTTGAAACTGTGATGAAAGAACTCGTAAGAATTGAATTAACATGTACTAAACGGGATGAACGGTGTGAGGCTGCCTCTATTAAGAAGATGATGGATAAGTTCGAGTTCATAATTTCGTTGGTATTCTGGGAGCGGATTTTGCAAGTGTCCAATATATTTTCAAAAACGGTACATTCAGCAACCTGTGATCTAAATGTAGCTTGCAAGTTGCTTGAGACATCAATTCAAGATACTTGTACAATTAAGCAAAATTATCAATCAGTTTACCATGCTGCAATCGTTCTGGCTAAACGTTTTGGTACCAGTACTGAATTCGAGAAAAGAAGAACACTTTTCCGTAAACAACATTTTGATGAGCTTGCTCTCGACAAAAACTTGGAATCATCTTATGAGAAGCTGGTTTTTATTCCTGTTTGCGAAATAGTGATTAAGAGTTTAAAGAAACGATTTGCTGGGATGCGTTCGATATCAGAAAAATTTGCATTCTTAAACCCACTTATTTTGTTTGACGAAGAACAAGAAGATTTTATTATCCGATCAGCAAAGGATTTCGTAATCGCTTAATCGTAATGACGATGTGACCGTTGACTTGGAAAGACTGTTGCGTTGCTTTATTTCGTGTTTTCACAAGGAAAAGGACAAGTTTAAAAATATTGCATCACTTGGAGAGAAAATTTTGCAACTGGGATTGGTCGTCTCTTTTCCTGAAATTTTGACTGCTGTAAGAATCTTTCTTACTATTCCTGTTACCGTTGCATCCGCAGAGAGATCATTCTCAAAATTGAAACTGATCAAAAATTACGTGGAACCATGTCACAAGATCGATTGTCAAATATTGCAATTTTAAATAT